CACTCTTCTCTTGAAGGGCGTGGAAGCCGCGCTTCTAACAACGGGCTCGACATGGCCGCAAAAACTGCCACAAGAGGAAAGCTTGAGCCCGCTTGCACAGATATACGGTTGGCACACCGCCTGTGCTAGAGGCCAAGCACAAGAAGTCAGCCAATAGCCGAAAGCAACCATCTTGGCCCCTGAATGCCAGGCAGTTTGGCCGAAAGACAGTCAGTCACAGCCATGCAATTCGGCAAGCAGAAGGTTTGGCAGAAAGGCGGCCAGCGCGTCAGCAAGGGCGCGTGACAAAGCATGACTGAGACCAGGCCATTGTGCCGCAAAGGCGCTGGGCGAGGTCTGGGAGTCTCTGTCGCGAAGCTTTTTGCAAAGCAAAAAAGCCCGAACTGCCTGCTTGGCAACGCTAAATGCCCGCCACGCTGGCTAGTTTTACGAAAGCTGGTCCGCTGACCAGCGGAGACTAGATTGCAAGAAACAAAGTGCACAAGGAAACAAAAGGACAGGACAGTGAAGAAACAAAAGGGAAAGGTAAAGGAAGGACAGTAAGAAAAAGATAAGATCAGCAAGAGGAAGCGAAAACCGAGAAATAAATAAGCAAGGAAATGCTTTTGTCAAAGCAATGCACATTCCTTTTTCTCGGATGAACCACGGTCGCGCCTCCGTGTTCTAGGGGTCCCAGCTTATATGGGTCAACAGTCCCGGGTTTCTCCCGGTCCGTGCCTCGGACACGTCCTTGGCTAGGGCACCGCCTAACCGGTGACCGACTGCACATACTCAACACACAGGAAAACCTCCTGAGTGAAGACGCTGGCCGCCCAAACAGGGGCCCACACCGTAGGATACCCCACCAAGAATACCCCAGTAGCCTGCGTGGCTATTTTGGCTTGACCAAAATAGCAAATCGGCAGGCATGCATGCTCAACAAAGCAATGACACCTCACCAATCTCCCCGAGCCGAAAAGAGCAAGAAAGCGAAGCAAAACAAACGAGTTGCAAGCTATCAAGCTACAGCGCAAGCACTGTATAAGAAAACGCTGGATAAGACATGAGGGTCTGGAGGCAGAGTCTCCAGCCCTCAATTTCTTAACTTTCTGTTCAGAAAGAGGCGCCCACGGCAAGCAGCGTGGCCTTTTCAGGCATTGAGATCCACTGGGCTAGGCTGGGCCTCCCTAGGCTTCTTCCAGGTTCGCGAGGGTTCCTAAGAAAACAAGGGTCGCTAAAATAGCCTATAAGAAAACGAGGATTCCTGAGAAGACGAGGGTTCCTAAGAAAACGGGGGTTCCTAAGAAAACTGTAAAGTTCCTGAGAAAACAAGCCCCAAGGGGGAAGGAATTGGGAAAGGACAGGCGGAGGCACGGTCGCCCAAGCTCGATTCCCAAGCCTGTCACCTCCCCAGCCTGTTGTGAAATAGCAATTAAGAAACTGATAAGAAACTGAGGGCCCCTGGAGCAGAAATACCCTTTTGCACGTTAAGCTAAGCTTGAAGTTAAGAAACTGAGGGCTGCTGGGTTGGACGAGCCCGGATTCTTATCCAACGCTCGGGCTGTATATGTTATAAGCACTCAGTGTGACTATGAAACAAAACATGGGGATGCGCTGACTGCCCTTGATTTGCTTTGAAACATGGGATTCGAAACATGTGGGCCCTTATGTTGGCCCTTGTTTGCGCCCAAATTATTCTTACCTCGCTTGAGCCTTTCCTGTTTGAAGGGCAGCAGGGCAACAAGAGCTGGGATCCATTTCCTTTCCACTCAGGACTCATGAGACTCACGAGTCTGACTCATGAGTCAGACTCATGAGTCAGACTCATGAGTCACAAAGAAACCCCCCCTTCTGGCTGCCAGCTCGTGATGTTTTTTCGTTGGCGAAGGGGTGAGGCGTGGTGAGGCGTGGTTCACTTGCGCAGCGGCCAGCCATGCATCCTGGCCCGCGCTCGAATTTTTCAGAAACTTCTGACTTCAGCTTGCCAAAGCTCTTCGGCACCTTGAGCACGCTTTTTGCGGAAGTGTGGCAGGATTGGCTTGTACGGGCCCGCGTGGCTGAAGGCTGATTGCCGCGACCAACAACACGCAAAGCTACAGAAAATGGCTCAACACGGTTCTTAGCGGAGCCCATTGTGGGCTTTGACTTGATTCCCTTAAGCCGGAGCCCGGGGGTCCTTGTGGAGTAGGTGGGGAAACCATAAGCCTTGTCCATCCACAGGGACGCCAAAGAACCAAAAGCAGATCCTCATGCGCAAAACATGTCTTGAAAAGCTTTTCTTAGCTAGACGTACGCTACGACTGCTCAAGCCAAATGCATCATCATTCGTTTGGGGGCCTGAACTGCCAGCGGCCCGCCTTGGAAGCCGTTCTGCAACGGAGGCTCGCTCGCTCGCAAGCTCGCCTTCCTTTGTGGCCTCCTCCGTCTCCGTGGCTCATCTGAAGGCGCAGGATTAAGCGTAGGAGCTTTTCCTCCAGGGGCTTTTCCGCCCAGGTGCATCTTGAGAAGGGACACGCAGGATCTCACACGGGAAATCCTAGGGTCATCGCCATCTCTGTCGCCTGCAGCTTGTGGATTTGCGTCTGGCAACCCGAAAGCTTCGTCCGCGTCAGCGATGACCACAGTGGCTCACCGTGTACTGCTTGATCAGCCGGAAGACGAAAGGCCCAAAGCTATTCCTCCCTGAGCTCGTACGCGATCTGACGCATGCTCCGGATGTTGGGCGCAACCTGGCTAGAGACACCGCCAGGGGCGGGATTCACCACATAGTCCAATGTGGGTGTGAAGGCGTCGGGGCACGCAAGCAATCAAAAGTGATGAGCCTTTAGAATGGGAGTTGAGCCAATGTTTGGACCCCGGCGGCGCCTGTGTTTCTGCTCCAATGGTTCCTTGCTGTGAATCTCCTGCTGGAGGTGGTCCTGCTGATGAAGGCGCGGCAGAATCGCAGCCAGCAGGAGGCTCTGGGATCTGACTATCCTGAAACCAATTCCAAGGGTGGTCCCAAGAGTTTACAGAATCCCATAATCCCCAAGACGAATCCCAGGACCAATCTTCTTCTTCTTCTTCATCCCAACTGTCCCATGAGCCATCTGGCCACGACGAATCAGGCCAGGGATCTTCGGACCAATCTTCACTCCAATCTTCCTCAAGCACTCCACTCACAGCTCTCTGCGGACATGCTCTGGAAATGTGCCCGCGAGAGCCGCAAATCCAGCAGGTTGTAATTGACCCTTTTCCTTTTCCTTTGGAATCCTTTCCTTTTCCTTTGTGTCTTTTCCTTTTGCTTTCCTTTTGCTTTTCCTTTGCTGAATGCTCCTTTGTTGTATGACCAATCTGGTCCCTTGGCTCCTTTGAACCCTTTGAATCCTTTGCCTTTTCCTTTGAATCCTTTCAGCCCCCCCAATGTCCATGGGTGCTGGTCCTTGGTTGTCATTCCCTGGCATGTTCCTGGAGCGGTCTGTCTGTGTCATCCTGGCTACCCGCTACATTCGAATGCGTGTTCTCCATGGGTGCATCTGCATTGGCCTCAATGCGGTCCATAATCGTTGTTTGAATCTGGCAGGAACATGCTGAAATATGTCCTGAAATCCCAGCTCCAATCTTCCCAGTCCTCTAGCTTGCCAGTGAATGTCCCTGGTATGGGAAGTCTTAGCATTCCTGCGCAATCTTGTCCGAGTGCCATGGCAGCTCTCAGAATCTGGTTTCCCTAAGGTCTCCTGAATCTTCGTGCTCCGCTGACATGGGAAAATCAGAGACTAATCTCTGATAGTCAAACAAGGCAGCAAATGCACCTTCATTGTCTTGAGCCATGCAATGGTAATCAGCATGAATTACATCCAAGTGGGAATGCATGGTGTACTTTCGCAACCAACCAACCACCCAACCAACCAACCAACCAACCAGCCAGCCAGCCAGCCAGCCAGCCAGCCAGCCAACCAACCAACCAACCAACCAACTCGCTAGCAAACAAACACACACACACACAAACAAACACAAACAAACACACCGACCAGCCGAGAAAACAACCAACTCACAAACAAGCAAGCAAGCAAGCAAGCAACCAAACAAGCAAGCAAGCAAGCAACCAAACAAACAAACAAACACACAAACAAGCATGCAAGCAAGCAAGCAAGCGAGCGAGCGAGCGAGCAAGCAAGCCAGCAAGCAAGCAAACAAGCAAACAAACAAAGAAACACAGGTAAACACACACAATCAACCAACCAACCAACCAACCAAACAAACAAACAAACAAACAAACAAACAAACAAACAAACAAACAAACAAACAAACAAACAAACACACAAACAAATAAAGAAACAAACAAACAAACAAACAAACAAACAAACAAACAAACAAACAAACAAACAAACAAACAAACAAACAAACAAACAAACAAACAAAACAAACACACAAACACACAACCAAACAAAAATCAAACACTAACAATCAAACCGACCAACCAGCCAACAAACATACAAACAAACACAAACACACGAACAAATGACACAACCAACCAACCAACCAAACAAACAAACAAACAAAGAAACCAAGAAACAAACAAACAAACAAACCGGTAAACAAACACTAAGCAACAGAAGTACAAGCAAACCAAAAATCCAGCCAACAAACAGACTAACAAACAATCAATCAAACCAACCAACCAACCAACCAACAAACATACAAACCAAGACACCATCAACAAACAAACAAACAACCAAACAACCAAACAAACAAACAAACAACCAAACAGTCCAACAAACAAACAAGCAAACAAACACGCAAGCAAGCAAGCAAGCAAGCAAGCAAGCAAGCAAGCAAGCAAGCAAGCAAGCAAGCAAGCAAGCAAGCAAACAAACAGGCAAACGAACACTAACTCTCTTACACACAAACACTGACAATCATACAAACCAACACTAGCACTCATAGAAATGCACAAGCTGACACACATGAAAACACCAGTTGGAAGACCCATCCGTTTCACGAGCAGCCACCGCTCAGCCACCGCGTCATAACGCCGAGGCCTTGAAGCCGAGGATGCTGGGGGTCTCGCGGTCCCCGAAGGTGTTGGGCAGCACCTGCACGCCTCGCGGAAGGATGCGCTGAAGAACCAATCGGTTTCGAGAGGATCCATGGACCGTTTGGTTTTTGCAACCCAGGGGTGTCTCACACGATACAATTAAGCAAGAAAGCTGTTACCTACTATATGGGTAACTGGGATTCACTGACCCTTGGAAGCACTGGGTAAGCTGTGAGCAGCTGTGCAAAGTGATTTCGGCACCTGGATCCACGTAGTTTTTGTCTATTCAATACATATCAAGGATGTATATCTGACGGTCATATTATTCCACCAGCTTGCTGCACGGTGGTGAATCTGACAGATGTTCGTGCTTGACACCGAACACGTGTTGGGAGTATTCTCCGTCCAAAGGACCCAGTTTCAGGACCCGAACATACTTGGTTAGCCTTGCTGGGCCCACTAAAAATGGAAATCCATAACGGGAAACCAAAACGTCAAATCCGGTCTAAGTTCGCTTTGGTTGCCCTGTTGAATCAATGGGGTCACAAACTTTGAGTATGGGCAATGACCCTATGTTTTGAAGGGTCATGGAGACTCCGGGTAGAAAGAACTACAACCAAGGAAGCCAAGACCACTGCCCTCCTTCGTATTTGACCATCTCTTTGAAGCGACTCGGAGGGTTCTCACCAAAGCCTGGCTCATCTGACACAGACATATCTTCAGTGTATGCTCCATATTTAGACTACCTTAAAAGCTAGAATCGGTTTAAAGACTAAAAAGTTGGTGTTTCCTACCCCAGAAGCGTCCCAGCATCCCAGATTTACGGTTTTGGGCTTGATTCAGGGACTCGTCAATACAGATTCCTCAAATCCGCAATTGGACCTTTTGGGTACATGAGCCCAAAGTTGAACCCAACGCAAGGGTGTCTCTTCCTCTCTTCCTGTACCCAAACGTTTCTTTATAAAATTGGCCAGTCCCGAAAAGCGACTAAAGTCCGAAACGGAACTCAGGAAGCGAGTTGCTCCTTTTCTTCTAAGACCTGGTGGCTTCCAATCATATCCTTTGGTTTGGAGACACAGGGACCCTGTGTCTTCCCAGGAAGTGAGAAGTTTCTGTGGGGCCCGGCGTTAGGTCCAAAAAGGGGTCCCTAAACCCTCAATCTACCCATACAAAAAAGGGAATTCACCAACCATCATTTTGGGGCTTTAGGGGTCCAAAAAAAACAGGACTTTCAAACTACACACAAAACAGAGAAGTCACAAACCATAAGTTTGGGGGCTATGACCCGATTTTTAAGTTGGAACTTTGTTGGTTCTGGGGCTATGACCCGATTCTTTAAGTTGGAATTTGATTGGTTCTGGGGCTATGACCCATCTATAAGTTGGAATTTTGTTGGTTCTGGGGCTATGTCCCGATTTTTCAGTTGGAATTTGGTTGGTTCATGTCCCCATATTTTTCCGCCACCCCCCCAAGAGCCATCCTAGGTCCTCCAGTAAAGAGGTTAGAATAAGTTGGTACCTTTCTTTGTCTGTAGTCTATTTTAGTAGGGGAACCCTCCCAACCAACAAAGGGGTGAGAAAGGGCACTACTCAGGGACCTAGCCCCCATTTCTTGCCTTGGTTCTGCCAGATGGCGGCACGGCAATAGCTGGAGCCCAGATCAATGCCGCAGACCGGGCCTCAGCTCGGCTGCACGCGAGTTCGAGTCAGCCGAGCAACTCGTTGGACGTAGACACCAAAACAAAACATGTTACTTCCCACAGGTGTGTTTTTCTTATTTTTCCTTTTTTGGAGCCTATTCTCACTTCCTTGGTGGTTTTTTTAATGGAGCCCAAAGGAACAAGCCGCCCCTGTAGCTCCCTGGAATCTCCTTCTGACCCCAAAAAAGGTTATGCCCCCAGGGTCAAAATTTGAGACTCCGGGGCTCCGGACTCACTTGCTGAGATAGGCCCCAAAAGGTCCGAACTGGCTTGACCCAAAAAATGGCTCAAGCTCAGGAGCTTGCGTGAGTTTAAGGAAAGCCCCAGATTGAACCTCCAATGAACAGCGCGCACCCTAGGCCTCTGATGTAGAGTTCCTTCCATTGTCCTTACATTACCCCACCCAGCAACTCACCTCACCTTCTTTAGTGGATTGGCACCGAATGGGGTCTCCTCCAGACCTCGTACTATCGTACATATGCAACGGCAAGGTACAGCAACTCCCTTGGGCCAAACGTTTCACTCACCCAAACCTGGAAACGAAGCCGACGTCAGGCGTCCAAATTTTCGGGGATGCGCTTTCTGGAGCCTCGGAGACCACGAAAACTCGTACGGGTTGTGGGGTGGACAGGTTCCTGAATCGAATCGTTGGCCTCGGAAAATTCAAACTAAGACAGTTGGAACATGGCCAAAAGACCTGAAAACAACTTATTATTTGGTGAACATTAGTTGGTGGAGGTTGCAAAGGTCTTTAGGGAACGCTGCTAAAAGTGAAGCATGCACCTTTCGGAAGCTTCACCTCAGCTCTTGACCTCAGGGAAGCCAAAAGGTTGCTGGATTCGCTCCGGGCCAGGCCTCAAAAACCGACCCACGAGGTGCCATTGACAGAACCTCGGGTTTGGGAGGGCCAGTTTCTGCTCCATTTCACAAATGGCCATGGGTCAAAACCCCGTACCCCCAGTGAACATCCCAATCCCCGCAAAAAATAGGTGCACCTACCCCAAAATGGTACCATTGGTTTTGACCCACGGCCACATGAATCTACCAAGGAGTCTCCATGACCCTCAAGAAATGGTTGGTCATTACCCAAAACAATGGGGTCATTGACCCATTTGGAGACTCCGGGTCTGTCCTTGGTGGAAACCCTGCATTCAAAACTACCTCAGCTTTTGCCCAACCAAACGACGTACATGTTGATTACGCATGCGCAGGCCAGCTGGGGCAGTGAGTTTTACGCCAATGTGATTATTTTCAGCGCACCTCCCCCTTTAAGTGAAGAGCTAGACATGGGAAGGCTTTCCAGTATCATAGAAGTCGGGAATTTCCACATTCCTGCGCGCTTGTTGTTGGCCTGTGACTGCTTTGTGTAGCTGTGCGTGTGTCTGTGTATATACTCTTTGGTTTGATATGCGTAGCGCATGGGATAGGCAAGTTGCATTCGGAGATTCCCCATTCTTCCCTACTTAGTGCCAGGGATATTTGTTCTTGCTCGTTGGCCTCCTATTCAGATTGACCAAAGCCACATGCCCTTTCATCTCCTTCAGTCACCTAAGGAGGCAGAACAATGATCGAGTCAACGAACAAGGGGTCCTTACCCTGAACCTGTGTGTCCCAAGGATCCAAGTGCCCCATATTTACGTTCTCGGGCTTGGTTCGAGGGGTATGCGTCAATTGCAATCCTCAAATCCGCAAAAACTGGAGTACTTGGACCCTTTGCCCATACTGTACCCAAACAAACCTTCACCTCCCAATACACGCTACGCGAGAGACACGGCTTCAAACAAATCACGCTTCGAGGGAAACCATGGAGCAACTTCCGAACTCGTCCAGGCTTGTAAGTTTGTTTGGCAGGAATGATTCAGGGACCCCTTTGAGAGGTCACGACAGCCGCCCTTATTTAGGCCAAAGCCACCAGCAATGCTCGGTGGCGACGGAGGCGGGAAGAAGAAATCGAAGCACGGCGGCGGAGCTTTCTGCTCCAATGGCACCTACAGGCTTGGGCCCCATGCCAGAATTCAGGTACGGTCCTCCAGTAGAGAGGCTGGAATACGGGTACCATTTTTCTGTAGTCTATGTTAGTAGGGGGGTGAGAAAGGGCCAACTGGGGGACCTCGTTCAGGTACCGCGGGTGGTTGGGGGATTTGGATTGGTGGTTTGGGGATTTGAACCCCAGTTGTTGACACCAAACCACCAAATTAGCAAGGGGTACCGAACATGGGAAATGGTTTTTGAGAGGTACCGCGGGTGGCTGGGGGATTTGAACCCCAGGATTTTTGTTTAGAGGATAAATGGCTTCGAAACCATCCCCTGACCCTCCAAATCACCAATCCCAACCACCAACTACGGGGAAGTTGAAGAATGTCCCTTAGATGTTCGAGGGATTTCAGATGGGTTCGGCGCGTGGAATGGGGTTCTGGGCTCAGAGTGGTTAGCTCAGGTTCTTAAAAGGCACTGGCGCTTCTACACTTCCCGTTTTTGCTAGCCCCCCCCACAAAAACCAAACAAAACATAAACCATGGAGTCTCTATGACCCTTTGAACATGGGTAGATGACTCCATTCTTGAAGGGCGGAGACTCCAAGAACACCCTCTTGATCATTGCGACCCAGACCTGTTGCCTTTGGGTCCTGTGGATGTCAACCAATTCAACAAGAGTTCCACTATATTCAGACAGACCCAAATGTCCCAGAACGTTTTTTGCAATTGGGCACTACCTGGAGTCTCCTTCTGACCCAAATCAACAATGGGTCAATGACCAACCATTATTTTAGGTAATGACCAACCATTTTTTAAGGGTCAGAAGGAGACTCTAGGTAGGTTTCTATGGCAATTTGTGGAATTTCCGATTGAAATGCTGGCCGGTTCCAAAAACATGGGTCTGGAAAAGCAGCCCTTCAGAACTTGTTTTCGCTGAACCTTGAAATGCCCGTATGTTGAAAAGGGGGTACCCAGCTTGAATTTGATCGTGAATTCTGGTCCAACTTGTTCAATTGGTGAGCCCGTGGGTGTGTGGTTTTGAGGGTAACCTTCTTGGGGTTGTTTCAAAGGGAAGCCAAAAGGAAAGCCGAAATCTATGGTAACATGGGTTTGGGGGTACCCAACAAATGAGAGTGTTGTTTTTGTCAGAAAGCCAAAACCGAAGTTCCCAAGCGATTTTTTGTGCCGGTGTTCCCCAGATGTTTTGAGACACTGGGCGATTTTTCCCCTTCGATCCCCTGCTAAAAGTTAGTATTGTGGAAACTGCCTGGCGTCTCATTCTGTCCCTAAAAAACTGCTTGGTCATTACCCAAATTTTCAAAATTAAACACGGGGGGTTACGCAGGTTTTGGTCCATGTTTCCACTTGCCAGGGTTCCATTTTGGTACCGGTTTTTTGAGCCAGAGCCAAATCAAAGGGTCATGACCGAATTCATGTGTGAAGGGTCGGAAGGAGACTCCAGGTACCACTAAACCGACTAAAGGATCTACATACCTAAGTTGACCCGGATGGCTGGGAACCCCAACACCCGCAATCTCTCGGGTCGATCGGATCGACTTTCTAGCAAACGGTTTGGCTGCGCTTGAGAAGTGCCACCCCTTCTTCCCCCACTTGTCCTGTCTAGTCATCTTTCCAGTTTCCCCGGGTTTCTGGAGGTTTTCTGGAAAGGAGGATCCCTGGAAAGAATGTGGAAGGTACCCCTAGAATCTTGTACTCATTTAATATCCCTCCCTGGTGGATCCACGATATACGCCACAAATCCACGCCTGTTTTTAGGGGATCTCCACAAATCTTAGTCTCCTTTGTGTTCCCCTTTACATCCACCAACAAAAATGGATGGTACCTACCAAAAAAAAACTCAACCCCAAGCTCCCTGGCATTCTCTCGCTGCGTCGATCGGATGCTCTTCCATTTGCTTAAGCCCCTAGAAGAAAATGTATTTCCAGCATGATACATTCCCTTTTGAAGCCAACAGGGGAAAACAACATCTTCTTCAAATCCGTTAAAACCCAACCAGGGACAATAACAATTCCTGGAGTCTCATTCTGACCCTTTCAACATGGTTGGTGACCCTCGAAATACTTTGGGCAATTGATGACCAAGGGTCATGGAGACTCCAGGTCTTCATTTCTGGGTCAGTTTTCGGTTGAGACAGCTTTCGCGGCGCCTGTTCTTCCCCCTGCTGGTCCTTTTTGAGTAACAGTGTACTTTTAAAAAAATCGTCCTACAGGGGTGGATCCGCAGCTTCGCAGCGTCCAAGCCGTTTTCAAGAAACCAGGCGGCTCCACAGATTCGCCACACGCGTTTCAACAAAAGCCAATCGCAAACCGCACAATATTTTCCTTTTTCCTCTTCGGGTGCCACAGAGATCGACGGACGCTCTGATTAAAGTAATGAACATCTGTTCCATTTCTGATATCCCCATATTCATACACGATAGTTCATATAATAATAAGTTTCATATAAGCTTTGACGCCTGGTTCCAACCAACTGAACCCAAACCCGCACGATCGCTTTCTCGTTGCTTTCCTCTTCGTGTTCCGTCGATCTGATCGACGCAGGGAGCGCCTGGATGGTCATCAGCATGTTGCAGCGGCTGCCCATGGCCTCCAGCCCGAAGCGCCTGGCCACCGCCTGCAAGTGAGCGACACGCGCGAAAAAAGCCCCGGGGAAAAAAAAACAACCGTGAAAACGGACACGCATGAAAGACAAGAAGAACAAAAGGAGAACAAATCGGCGGAAACGGTTTTCGAAGGATCTAGGAAAACGGTTCTTGGAGGGTGGCGAATCTGTGGTTCAAGAGCGGTTTCAGGAATCCTCCCAAAAGTCCAACCTAGAAATGGGGTATAGCCCCTGTTTCGTGAGTAGTCTGAGTGTCCAGGAAGGATCTTCAAGAAGCTTGGTACCTGGCCGGAGTTTTTGCATGACTTGAAAACATGAGCCAAACACACACCACAGCAAGACAAACACAAGCGCACAGCCCACTCCGGCGCCCCCAGCCTTCCCTTCTTTCGCCGCTTCCTCAGCCTGCCGACGGAGTGATTGAGATGACTTGATATGCCTCATGTTTGCCTGGTTCTTTGTGTCTGCGTGTTTGTTTGGTTGCTGGTTAAAAAAAAGAGAAGCTAATTGCTTCTTCCTTTGTTTGTCTCTCGGTGCGCTGCTTTGTTTGTTCAAGCCTGCGCGCTTGCGTACACGATGCACGCGGGTGACGCTGAAATAATTTCCGGCCCCCTTGCAGCGGATGCGTCTGGGCGTCTCGCCATTTGCAGTTGGGGACTGGCCATTCCAGTTGCAATACCCCCTACTCCAAACACCCACTTGTTTCAGGGTATCATGTCAACCCTCTACTGAAAAAGGTCCCAACAATTCCCTGAAAAAAAGCGGGTCTTTTGGGGCTAAACTGGTTGACAGTTGCAGGCCTGACAACTTGAATGCCCCAACCAAGTGATTGGAACGTCGGCAAATCGGAGAACTGAATCCAAAGAAAGACGAGCCAGCCATCTTGTCCAGCACGCGAATCGGGAACTAGGCCGTGTCAGGCTTGAGGCGAATTCCGATTGGCCATCAGAAGGGCGCCCGAAGCACAAGCCGCAACTGATGAAAATCGCCGCTCAAAAGCATCGTGCTGGAAGTGGCAAGCCACAATGGGACGCAAGCAAGTAGTTTTGCCTCTAGGCCTGGAATGATTTGATTCCCCTGTAAATAATACCAAGCAACCATGGTTTCAACGATAGTTTCATTTCGTGGTGCGAAAAAAAAAAAAAAAAAAAAACGGATTAGCCACCATCCATAGTATGATTCCCCTTTTTCAACATCACCCAGAGGTAAGGGGAACTCACCTTACACTGGCCAACAAGGTGATGTCTAAAACTCATGGGGGCTGGGGGGGGGGGAGGGGAGGGAGGGAGCCCTAAATAAGCCCCTTTTAAGCCCTTAATAAGGCCTTATTTAGGGCTCCCTCCCCCTCCCCTCCCTCCCCCCCAGCCCCCCATGAAAAACCCAAACCGGCCAGGCAAACGAGGAGAATGGTTTCCCCTCACAAGCCAAAATCCGTCTGGAAGTCCTGGGTCACATTCGAGGCAACTCAGCACCCGCGCTGGGAAACCAGCACATCAACACACGGAACACAAGAACCTATACCTGGAGTCTCCGAATCTGTCCGGAATAAAAAATGGTTGCTCAGAAAACCCCAAAAAATAAATGCTTGGTCATTGACCCATTTTTGATTCGGGTCAGAAGGAGACTCCAGGTATGCAACGTGTCAACTGTCGATAGTTGCTTCCACTCTTAAGCCAGTGCCACGAGCTCAATGAAGCAGGACGAGTTCTTCAATAATAAACAAACACAATCATCTAAACACCTCAAAAAAACGACACTCAACATGTTAGAGCATAAAATGGAACTCTAAAAATACCTGGGACAATCAACACAACATGGTATCATTGCCAGGTGTGTCGCTGGAAACACCTTGTCTCCAAAGCCCCGGCCACTTTGAGGCCGTGCCATCGAAAAAACAAACAAATCTGCGGAACAAGCTCAACCACTTTTCGGCACTTTCGGGGTTCCAGGGTCCCTTAAGGTATCCCGGGGATCAAACGGTTCTGGGTTTGGTTCAAGGGCAATTCGTCCATTTTGCAGATTCCTCAAGTCCGCAAACATGAAGTACCAAGGGACCCTTTGGGCCAAACAGTTTCAAAGATTGGTTTTGGTAGTCAACTCTTGGCAACAAGCGAGCTCACCTTTTGCTCCCCATGTTTCCCTTGGTCGACCAGTGATGCTAACCTGCTTCCCTTCATTTCATCTCCGTGGCCGTTTCTCCCCCCCCCCCCCCGCCCCCCACCCTCTCCCCCTGCCCCCAACCCCCCCCCCCTCTGCGGGTCGAGTGCTCGCTCGCCGCGCCTCTTGGGCGCGCGCCAGGCGCTCCGCGGCTTCCAAGCCCATCCGCTGCGCGCGGAGCTCCGCCTCCCGCACCGCCTGCTGGAGGGCGCTGGGGATCAATCAGCCTTCAAAGGGTAGCTTCTAAGGGTAGAACTTCTAAAAATTGGGCATGTGTACATATGTTTCTGGTTTGCATGGATTGCCTAAAATTGCTCAAAGGGCCGCATCAAAATCAAGGCCTTTCAAATCCAGCGCTTCCAGTTGCCACATAAGTTTTACAATATGGCTTGGTTGCCTATTTCTATAGTGATAACTGGCAAGTGGTAACTGGAAGCACTGGGTTTTTTGGACCCTTGACGCTGGACAAAAAATGAGCAGCGCCCAAACCCATTCACTTTGGGTCCTACTCCAAGGTTTCAAACTAGGTCCAACTCAGTAGGGAGCTGAGAATAAGGTGGTACCCACTTTTCTCTGTTTTGTCTATTTTAGTAGTGGAACCCTCCCAACCAAAAAAAGGGGTGAGAAAGCGCACTAATGGGGGACCTTGGCAGGGACTCCCAGAAGATCCCTGGATCAACCATCGGTCGAAGGGTAGCTTCCATTTCCATTATTTCCAGAGATCCGAATCCTTCTAGAAAACCACCAAAATCCCTGGGAAAACAGCTGGTTGTTGATAAGAACGATGGTTGAAAAGAATGGGGAATCAAACCCAATTGTCATATCGAATTCGCCACGATGTCCAACTACCGTGTTGATTCAAACGATCGTTTCGGTGAAACACCAACAGCTCAACAACAAACAACCGTAATTAACAAACAGCACAACAATCTAGAAAAGAAATGACACCAAGAGAAACCCAGGTTCAACAGGGGAGGGAAGTTCGAAGTCTTGGGGTCCCGTCGCGGAGGCAAAAAAGCGGAGGTAGCGGCAAATATGCGGAGGTATGCTTGGCTCGCAATTCCTCTTTGAGGCGAAGGTCACCCTTTTTTGTGGTTTTAAAGGTGGGTGCAAGCTTCAGTTGTGAGTGGGTGTGTGCGTGCGTGCGTGCGTGCGAGTGTGTGTGTGTGTGTGTGTGTGTGTGGGTGTGTGTGTGTGTGCGTGCGTGTGTGTGTGTGTGTCCGTACGATACTTTTGGGTACCTGGAGTCTTCATTTCCCCTTTCAAAAGGTGTCATGACCCCTTAATCCAATCCAAACCGAACTGGGGATAATCTGAGAATTTGTGGCCAACCTAACCAAATGAACAGAAGTCATGTCTGTTGCCAGTCATGGCACCTCAAACAACATCACCTACCTGATACCGGGGACAGTTCATGGGCTCCGCGTTGGGAAAACCATCGAATTCATAGTAAATCACCGGAATTTTGGCAAGAATTTACCTGTAGAGTTCAGGTCCATAAACTGGTACCTCTAAAAATGGCATCTCAACAATAGTACCAATGGGCCTCTAAGGAACTACCTATACACATTGAAACCTAATTCATAAACCCGTTTACTCTGATGCTGTGGACAAGGTTCAAATAGGTCTTACTGTAGCCCGCATGAGGACCCAACCACCTTACTGGAACCTGTAAACATGGCCCAGGAGAGGGTACTTGGTAAGTGGTTGTAGCCTGATAATGTGCGCCTTAACCCGTGCTTCCAAGCAAGCCACCATAGTAGGTAACAAGGTATGGCTACCTCTAGATTTATATACATCATGGTTTCCTCTAGTTACCAACTACAGTGGCTTGCCTGGAAGCACTGGTTTGGTGAAAGTGTGTCTGGCCTGAAACTCTATTCTGCAATCAGCAACAAAATTCGAAGCCTGAGACAAGACACGGATCCCGAAATAAAGGACCATCCCCACAAAGGGTCCGAGTACGCACCTCACTTTCTCGCGGAACTCGTAGGTGACAAATCCTCGTTTTCACCAAAATCCAGTGGGGTACCGTTAACGGTACCAGAGGTCCCCAAGTAAACTAGGTCCTCCGGTAGAGAGGTTAGAATAAGGCTACCCTTTCTTTCTGTAGTCTATTTTAGAAGTTTGGAACCCTCCCAACCAAAAAAGACTGTGAGAAAGGGCACCTAGCTGGGGTCCCCAAGTGAAAACGAGCTACCTGAATTCTCCGTCCCACCCTTTAAAAATGGAATGACCCATTATTTTTGGGTACTGACCCCATTTTGGGTGAGTAAATGACCTACCTGGAGTCTCCATAATCCTTAACAAAATAAGGTCATTACTCAAAATAATGGTTGGTCATTGACCCTTTTTAAAGGGTCATGGAGACTCCTACCGCCCGACACTCGCAGCTTTTCCGCGCCTCCGGCGCCGCCTGGGCGTCTTCCGACATCTTCTGCGCCTGAGGCACGGGCTCGGCGGGTCGTTTGTTCGGCCCTCGAAAGGGGGGGGGGGTTCCCTTAGGCTTCCCCAGAGAAAATCGTCCCTTTGGTTGTTTTCCCTTGGCCTTTTCCCAAAAAAAAAACAACAACATAGAGCCATTTGTGGTGGTTTGCTTTTTTTCCTCAGACATGGTTTCCGCGGAAAAAACATCCGGCAAACAACAGGTACTCCCAACAAAAAACACACCCACATGGCTCGCTCACAAAAACGGTATGTCTCAAAATAGGCAGCGAATCCCACAACATGACCAGGGGGTCCTTTTGGTTTGCCTTGAACAAAAAACAAACCCCCAAAATTGGGAACCCGCAACGGCTGAAAAAAGACACACACCCCTTTCGAAAGATGCAAGGACCCGGTGTGTTCACAACGTGAAAGTGATCGCAATACCTCGGTGTGGGAAAGGGTCTCCACAAAATCGGGGAAAACAGCGAGGGAAAACAAAACCCATCACCTGCTGCAAAACTATCCCAAGTACCCCTTGGGAAAAAAAAACCGGGAGGCGCCTCTATGAATTAAATGTTGTTTTGGCTGCATGTTTCTTTGAAGGAAAGCATTTGAAGGCGAAACCAAACAAACCGATCAAAAGGACTAGTGATGGACGCGATCATGGAAACCAGCGTCTCGCTAGCAACTTTCCGAGCGTTAGTAGCCTGTATAGACCTTGTCTGCCAGCCGTCTCCAAACTGGTGCCGCCTGCCGCCAGGAGCAAACCTGACCGGATCGCCTCATCCACAGAAGTAGAAGTGGTAGAGGAATAGTCAAATGAGCTGACTGTACGCCACAAATCGGAGGAAGCTTCTTGTAGAAGCACCAAGTGCCATCTGCCGCAGATGTATGCAGTCAGCAAGTTAGGCAGCCTATATCATTGGAACTGCGACTGGGAGTTTCCGTGGCAAGCTTTGCCGACAAAAAACCAAGATGAGTCCCAAGACTCACAGAGGGAAATGGGATCTGGGCTGTCCGTTTCCTGATCCCCTAAAAGGTTTTCAAGTGGGTTAAATGGGACACCAAACCACCCCACCCACTACAAACAACTAAAAACAGCTGAGTCGCAACCAAAACCCGGGTGAGTTGAGGTTAGTAAGGGACACTCCCAACCAGAAATGGTTGCGGAATTCCGCCGTTGCGGCCTTCTTGAAGCATGGTTCTGGGTTAACCCATTTACCGGGTTTTAACCCGGAGCCCAATGGCTGGGGAAAGCAATGTATACCATGTGGCCACGTCGTTCCCTGCGAGATTAAAAAAAAACTACATTTCTCCTGCGCATCGCCCCAAGAAGCTCAACTAAAGTGAGCCGAAAAGGGAAGGATAGGTACGCCTGTCAGAACCACCTTGAATTCAGGAAACCAATGATCCACTTCGTCTCGAAATAGGGGAGCCCGCTAAATGCCGAGTTGTCTTTTGGTTTGCCTGTAAACCGACCCCCACAATACTGTGGATGGACGAAATCCCGCACCACATAATGTCAGGAGACGATTAGTAAACCCCCCCCGGATAAAGGTTTTCCCTTTTCCCCCCCCCCCCTTCTCACCAATATTAAAGTAAAGGGCCAACAAGGATTCCCAAAAAAACCCTACCCACTTATGCTTGGGCCCTCCTGCAAACCCCCCCCCCCCCCGAGTAAAGGTATCCCTCTGCAGCCCCCCAGCCAAAAAAACCTGCCAGAAAATGGACTTTCCTTCTTGCTTAGTATTTGCTTAGTCCGTGCTTAAGCCCATCCAATACTAAGTACTATTGAACCCCTCAAGTCTTCGTCAAACATGTGCATTTCCCCCAAAATGCATTTGTCTGTATTAACATTTGTTTAAACTGACAAGGTTTTCAAGCTCACAAAGGGGACCGACCCCCCTTGAGGCCAGCGCCCCCTCATTAACAGAAAACCTCTTGCGAGTAAACAGGGCCCTTTGGGCTCAAAACCCAAAAAACGGTTGTTGCCTGTTAAAGTCCTGCCCAGAAGGGGCCAGAAGTAAGAGGACGAGGACCGAAGGGTCTCGAGATTCATCAGGGTCCTCCCAAAAGTCTCAGTTTTGGGGACTTGTCCAAACCTTGTCGATCTTGAAGGGGGTGGGAGGGGGTTTACTAAGTTGTCACCATTAAGAATTCCTGGCATGATTCCCCTGTAAATACCAACAAATAATGGTTTCAACCGTGGTTTCAACTTGGTGGAGCCCCTGGATTTCCATGCACGGATCCCCTAGGCTTCTGTGATTGTTGAGGTTTGCTTCTGCCGCTTTTCTTTCGGGCATGGTCTCGAGGTGGCGTTGTTGGCCATTTTGCGATGGTACACTACTGCGGATGGACGAAATCCATTTCGCACCACCCAAGAAACCGGGAATGATGATTCCCCTGTAAATACCAACCAAAAATGGTTTCAACCATGGCTTCAAGGTGGAGGATTTCGTCCATCCTACCATATGAAAAAAGTCAACACCCGAGCAACGCGCCTCGAGCTTGGCCTTTTTGAAGGCTTGGGCACTCTGCTCGGCGCTCTCGCGGCTTTCCTCCTGTGAAAACATCCAAGGGGTGCAAAACACCTGGGATCTCCAACCTGAAAGCGTGGGCTCTGCACGAAATGACAAGTGAATTCCAGTGTTGAAGGCCATCATGGGGACTCCAGATGTGTAGGTGTGTAGGTGTGTAGGTGTGTAGGTGTGTGTGTGTGTGGGTGGGTGGGTGGGTGGGTGGGTGTGTGGGTGTGTGTGTGTGTGTGTCTGTGTGTGTGTGTGTCTGTGTGTGTGTGTCTGTGTGTGTGTGTGTGTGTGTGTCTGTGTGTGTGTCTGTGTGTGTGTGTGTGTCTGTGTGTGTGTGTGTCTGTGTCTGTGTCTGTGTCTGTGTCTGTGTCTGTGTCTGTGTCTGTGTCTGTGTCTGTGTCTGTGTCTGTGTCTGTGTCTGTGTCTGTGTCTGTGTCTGTGTCTGTGTCTGTGTCTGTGTCTGTGTCTGTGTCTGTGTCTGTGTCTGTGTCTGTGTCTGTGTCTGTGTCTGTGTCTGTGTGTGTGTGTGTCTGTGTGTCTGTGTGTCTGTGTGTCTGTGTGTCTGTGTGTCTGTGTGTCTGTGTGTGTGTGTCTGTGTGTCTGTGTGTGTGTCTGTGTGTCTGTGTCTGTGTGTGTGTGTCTGTGTGTGTCTGTGTGTGTCTGTGTGTGTCTGTGTGTGTGTGTGTGTGTGTGTGTGTGTGTGTGTGTGTGTGTGTGTGTGTGTGTGTGTGTGTGTGTGTGTGTGTGTGTGTGTGTGTGTGTGTGTGTGTGTGTGTGTGTGTGTGTGTGTGTGTGTCTGTGTGTGTCTGTGTGTGTCTGTGTGTGTCTGTGTGTGTCTGTGTGTGTCTGTGTGTGTCTGTGTGTGTCTGTGTGTGTGTGTGTCTGTGTGTGTCTGTGTGTGTCTGTGTGTGTGTGTGTGTGTGTGTGTGTGTGTGTGTGTGTGTGTGTGTGTGTGTGTGTGTGTGTGTGTGTGTGTGTGTGTGTGTGTGTGTGTGTGTATGTGTGTGTGTGTGTGTTTGTTTGTGTGTGTGTGTGTGTGTGTCTGTGCGTCTGTGCGTCTGTGCGTCTGTGCGTCTGTGCGTCTGTGTGTCTGTGTGTGTCTGTGTGTCTCTCTGTGTGTGTGTGTGTTTTTTGTGTGTGTGTCTGTGTATGTGACTGTGTCTGTGAGTTTGTGTGTGACTGTTTTTTGTGAGGGTCCCTCGTCACAAGACCTTTTCTTGAATCTTATTCTGACGCATACCCACATGTGTGGCTCGTCGTGTTTTTAGGAATCGTAACCCCACAGTGGCTTGGATGTTCCTCTTGGCTTCCCTCAAAAGCCACAGGAAGGGTTCCAAATCCAACAAAAAGCGAGCCGCCCACAGATTGTCCGTTGCACTGTCTTGTTTGTCCATCCCGTCCTGCGCCTGCCCCACGCGATGCCCGGTGCGCTGCGCCTCGCGCTCTGGGGATGGTTGGACTCCCCAAAGATGGGTGCCTGGAGTCTCCGTCTGACCCATTGGTCATTACCCAAAAGAGTCCTGACCCCATGTTTGATTCGGGTCATGGAGACTCCAGGTGGATCCTGTTGGTTTTCCTTTACGACCGAAAAGGATTTTTCAACAAAAACATCAAACTTCCCCTTAAAAAAGGGACCACCCCGGATGATTCAGGCAGTCCGAGGGTCAAGGTAATTAGTAAACGTCAACCCCGTATTCATGGGGGAGGTGTTTTCTCCAAGAGTGAAGGCTTGCCTCAAAATGGGATACACCGCTGTTTATCAAGCAGGCGACTAATCCGGGCTCAACATTAACCATCCGAAACTAGTTCGGGACATGCACAAAGTCCGCCCCGGATTCCATCAACATGGAACCTCACTCATACCCTTTGCTTGCTGTTGGAGCTTGCCTTTTGTTGAGGTTCCATGTGGGTCTTGCTTTTTTAGGGGACCTCCAAAATGGTGGCTTTCCTTTAGGTTTTCCTTTGAAACCACCAAAATGGGGTGCCCTCAAACCAAAACACACCCATGTCAGTTCTTTCTGCGGACACCTGGAAGAAAGGCCAAAAAGACCAAGCCGAGTTATTGAACTTCTAACTAGAGCCTCCAAATCTTTGAGGTTGTGTTCGTCGGGAGTACACCTTTCAATCAATCGCAGCGGATCCCAGCTATAACCGTATAGGTAACCTCTTGCTGTTCGAAGGGTTCCCTTGGCTACCTACTTTTCAGGTAAATTGATCAGATATTGTTCTTCGCCTTCCCGAGTGTAGAAACTCTCAAGAAAGAGGGGCCACTTTCTTGGTGGGAATGGATCATACAACCTGTCGTTTCGAATGGGGTGATACTGTATGGTGATTACGCGAAGGTGAACCCCTCAAAGAAAATTGTCAATACAAACTCAACTCGGATGAGGACAGTCCGACATCTCCCTCCCACATAGAAACCTGCGGGAAGCTAGAGCATCGATTTACCTCACTGGATCTCCTGGATGGTGCCAGGTTGGTCGGGAGGGTGATTTGCCAAATCTAACCAGTGTTTTCACAAGTTAGCATCTCAATTTGTTCAGATCTTGGGCAAAACACCCAAGTATGCTCAGATTCGGTTTCATATTTGAAGTACCTGGAGTCTCCTTCTGAATGGTTGGTCAGAAACCCCAAAATAATGGTTGGTCATTGACCCATTCTGAAAAGGTCATGGAGACTCCAGGTATATATATATATGTATATATGTCTGTATATATGTACGTATAAATGTACACATATGCATATATGTGATTCATATTTGAAGTATAAACTTGTTTTGAAGAAGACCAACCGGAGATCTATCTGCTCGAATCCGCTTCGGGGCCGGCCTCGAGCCAGCACCGCGCGATGCGACCATCCTGGCAGAATGGCCCTTGACTGGAAGTGGATTTCTAGGGGGAAGCACGGAGCTCACCTTTTCCTGGGTAGGCTCAGTGAATTTCCAAAACACCTGGAGTATTTGTCATGACCCTTTAAACATGGGTCAATGACCTTTTGGGTAATGACCCCATCTTTTAAGGGTCATGGACACTCCAGGTAGAAACATGGCGCGCCCTTTTTCCCCGAGGGTGCCTTGGTACTTATTGCGGAATCCTTAAATGACGAATCCGCGTTTTCACCAAACCCCTTGCACTGTAAATATGGGGTACCGTTTGGGACCCTCTGGCTTCGTTTAAGCTGAATTTCAAAAACATCTGAAGCTTTGTGACCCCTTGCCGACGGTTTAGACAACCTCCTTTTGGTTTTCGCTTGAAGACCGGCTCGTTGGTCAAAGCATTTTGTCCCCCACCCGGACCTGTTGTCTTCTTTCTGTGGCAGCCTGCAGCTTCAGCGAGCGGATTGACGGAAAGCTGCCGGGTGGCACACTCTTTAAGAACCAGCTTGGCATTCCCAGTGGCTTCCAGGGTCCAATAAATTGAAGTTTGAAGCATTTCGGAGAAGTCAAAAGAGATGAACCCATGTCATTCTACAGACTCCGGTTGATTCTCACTTTATCTCTTAGGCCACTTAGAGGTTCCCTTAATATCAAAAAACGTCACCTACCCCCCTCCCCTGCGCCACCCAGAGAGTCCCAAGTACCCCATATTTACGGCTTTGGGTTTGAAGGAAGGGATTCGTCAACAGATTCCTCAAATCCGCACATATGAGGCAATGTTGAGCCCGGATCAATAAACCCCAAATTATTGATTTGGGGGGAGGGGGTTAGTGGGGATTCATCACTTTTGGAGGGGAACAAGTCCCCTACTCAGAAACTGGTTGGTTGATTCATGGGTGAACATTTCCAGTTGGGACACCTCTGGGTCCCAAGTATCTGGCCTCGGTTATAACCCGCTAACCAGGTTAACCCCACATTTACCGGGGGACTCATCAGTGGATTAGAACCTAAACAATTTACCTCGGTTGCAAACTCTGCTCACTGCTAAAAGTGAATAACTTTTAGCCCTTAGTTGGCAAAAAGCTATTCAGTCCTAAGATCGTTTGGCAAAATGCACCCAAGTTACCTATTTTGGCCGACCCAAGAAAACCCCCTCGGGGCCAAGCATGTGCCTCCAGCTGGTGCAGGAAGAGCTTTTGGCGGCCGGCTCCGTGCTGCTGTAGAGCTGTGCCTCTCGAGCCAATCGAGCCGAAGGGAACCACCATGGGTGCCTCGTGCTTTGCTCGCTTTTTCGTCCTCTTCTTTTTATTTTATTTTTCTCGGTAGGGCCCCATGTGGCCTGGTTTTGAAGGGAAACCACAAAAAGGAACAGAAAACCATTTTATGGGTTCTCCTAATTTTGGGACACATTTACATGGGGTTGATCAAAAGGTCCGTGATACATGACATGACCATTGGATGGAAAACCACCCAGAAGATGATATTTCAACCACGAACTGGGACAAATTACCCATATAGGGTGCCGGGAATATTGATCAACCCCCACATGAATATCAGAATGAACACCCACCGATGGCCCACACACCAATCCCCTTGGGAAAATATTGTCCAAGGCGATGCTGAAAGCCCTGTGGCAGGGTTGGGGCAATGCCAAACCAAGACTCAGTTGCAACGAAGCAGATAATCGTCAACTCAAAGGTGATCCGTTCGCGAGACTCCTTCAAACGCATACGTGCTTAACCGAATCCAGGTTGGTATGCGTGAACAGGACTCACTTGTGGCACATACCCATTAGGCTGCTTCCAAAAGGGGCCGCCCGCTTGTTGGTTTGCATTGTCCCATCGAAAACCAAAGGCCATCATCCGGCTCTGGGAACCAAGTTGGGCCTTGAGTCAAAACTAAGGACCCCTTTTTGAGGCTTTGAAGAAGGAATCAACAATCTAAACATTGAACACAAGCCTCATTTGCTCATTGGTGGTTTGGTTTGGTGGTTTGGACGTATTGAAATCCCCAAGCCACCAATCCAAACTTCCAATTGAAAGGAAGCTGAAAGCCTGTCATCCCCTTTGTCGACAGCCGCACCCAAAAATGCGCAGCTTTCCTCTTGTACAGGTACCAAGCCTCAAACAAATGGAGGTGTCTTTTCTGAATTTACCCCTGTTTGATTATGTTTAAAGGGACACAAAAAAAACAAAAAAAACAAAAACACTAGTGTTTTTGGGGGTCCCCAAAAAAACACAAACACACACACACACACACACATGCACACAGCTTCACCGAAAACGGGCCTTGGGATGTGCAGAGCAGCACCAGATTCTTGGGATCCTGGTCGGACCGGGTCTGGTAGTTGTAGGCTTCCCCACAGAACTCCATTGCGCCGTCCTCACGTGAAGCCCGCAGGCGAACAGCGCGCACGCACCAACCCTGTGGCGTTCGGTTACCACCAGCTAAAACAAAGGTTGGGTCAATCTAAAGGCTTAATTACCTCGTTATAAGGTTGGGTTCAGATATGCTGGTTGGGTTAACTGGTCATTAAAACAAAGGTTGGGTTAGTACAACCGCCAATATGTTTGCCTTTCAGGAGTTTTATCATCCAAACTGGCTCCTTGGCGTGGTCATTCTTTTACTGGGGGCAAGGGAAGGACCGAGTCCTCGTTTCTGCCCAAAGGACGCACCAAAAAAACAAACAAGGCTACATTGGGGGTCCAGGCTAACCCAGTGCTTCCAAGCGTTTCACCACTATAGAATTGGCAACCCTTCGGTATGCTACCTCTAGGTGTCACATCATGGGGGTTTCCCCTGGTTTCCTACCCTAGTGGAAACTGGAAGCACTGGGTCCGCAAAAAGGGGCAGAAAAAGGGGGTACCTGGGGTCTCCATGACCCTTTAAAAATGGGTCAATGACCCCTTTATTTTGGGTAATGGCCCCGTTTTGTTTAAGGGTCATGGAGACTCCAGGTACCCTCACTCCGTTACCTGCAAGAGGAACCACAGCTTTTCAGGTACCCTCCCACAAATGCAATGTTACTCTCACTTGCTGAGTGGATGGCCCAAACAAAGTTCAAACTTTGTATTTACCACTAAAATGGTCTTCCCAAAAAGTTTAAAGTCCAGGAACTCAGGGAGTGAGTACTGGGAGGAAGAAAGGGGTTTCTTGTGTCCAGGTTAAAACTTCTTGCGGATGAATGAAAGAGTCAAATCCAAATGGCCGAAGGTCTTCGAGCAACTGGGTGATCATGCTTTGGGAACTTGACTACAAATAGGCCAAAGGAAGAAAACCAAATGGTAGAAACGTCGACCCTAATTTATTGGGCAACCAGCCACTATTTATGGCTTTCTTTGGAAACCAGCAGGGTCCAACGTAGCCATGGGGAAAGCACGAGATCTTCGAAAGTGACAGCTGCGGAAAAAAAAAACAGGTTGTTTTGTACGACAAAGCCAGGCTTCCAGAGGCTCCAAATTGGCTGGTGGACATATAGGTGGTTCGTGCTCGTTTTGGAGTTGGTACCCGCCTTTCTTGTTGGTTTTAAAAGAACACCGCAAGGAAAACCATCATCTTGGGGGGTCCGATTCCCAGCCAACAAAAAGACAGGCCCAGACCCAAACATCCCCACGTGCGTGCTTTTCCTTTGGGACCCCCCCCCAAAATGAGCGGCGAAATCCCCCAAAATCGGTGTTTGGCCTCATGGCCACAAAGGTTTGTACTTGAACGTTCGATTCGATAAGTTAGTAACTGCTTGGCCACCTGATTCGGTTTTCTCACACGCGAAAAACAAGGTTAACCCCAGACTGGTACAAGCGAACTGCTGGTAAAAATACCTGGCCACCTAACTGGAAGAACTGGGATACATACCACCAATATATGCTTGAAAGGCGTTGCATAATGCCCCGTTTTCAGGTTGTAACCTCCATAGCTCCAAAACCCATACCTGACCATGCTCTTGACTCTTGATTGTACCGGCCTCGCAACCAATATGAAACCAGGAACCACCTACTCAGTTGCCCAGTGGACGAAAGAAGAAGTGATCGCCTTTCGGGGCCACGAAAAGAAATGGGACCCCCGGAACCCAAACAGGGAAAACTAAGAGGTGAGATCAATTCGCTCAAATGGCCCCTGTTGGAATCGGCTTCGGGCCCGGCCTCCAGCACTGGAAGGAAGGTCGTTTGGAACCTGCGCCGGAAGAGTCGGGTTCTCTGTCTTGAGGATAATCGTTGGGGTTGGTTTTAAAGGGGAACTTGCATGTGAGCTTTCCGAGCTTGATATATTGCAAACCCAAACAGAACAAGGACATGCAACCTCCAGATTGCTAAAATTGTCCTTTTGGGTTCCCTTCAAAACCAAACAGGGGCTCGCTCATTAGATCACTGGGCCTGTTGGCTTGCAGCGGAATTTTCTCAGATCGACCCTCAACGGCACTGGGGGACAAATCCACACACCCATTCTGCGTCCCTTCCAGTCCGGGCAAGCCACTTTTGTTGGCAACCAGGGAAACCCAGATATGGAAAACAAAACTCGAGGTAACCCAGAGGTTCCAAGTACCCCATATGGTTTTGAGTTTAATTCAAACGGGGGATTCATCAACATATTCCTCAAATCCGCGAAAATATGAGACGCTTGGACGCTGAAGGTAACAAACCCTAGTTACCAAACCTACTACTATAGCCGCTTGCCTGGAAGCACTGGGCTACACAAAGAGCAGCTACACAATTTGCCACTCGGTACTGGAACCGCTCTCTTCCAAAGGAACGAACCATCATGTCCTTGATGGCTTTACTCTCATCATGGATCCCAAGCCCAGGCAAAGAATCGCCTTGTGGGAAATGGATCCCGTTCTCACTCTTCAGGTCCCTTCCCTCAAACCTAGCGTCTTCCAAACATGGACGGGAATCCAGAGGGCCTATCTTCCGATCTTCTACCCGGATTTGGCCATGAGGCTCACAACGCGAAAGCCATGGTTGAACACGGCTGGTTTTGAACATGGTAGGGGAAAGGAATCTAGCCACAGAGGAAGGTCCAAGTCTGGGATGCACAAAAACATGTCTTCAGATTCTGGTTCATATTAAAAACATAGCCTCACATCATGGTCTAGAGTAGATATATATATATATATATGTATATATACACTTATATGTACAGTAAGTTTCCAGATTAATGTTCTATATTTAGTCCACCTTGACCTTGAAATATAGCGAACCGTTTAGGGTGACACGCGATCAACTCTCTCGGATCGGCCTGATGCTCACCTCCTGATCTGCTTCTGCATCCAGCGAGGTCCCACCCGCGAGGCCTCGCTCCAGCGCAGCGAGGCGGTCTGAAAACCGGGGACCAACGACGCCATGCTGGCGTTTTCGTTGCTTCCCTTGAACACCATGCCAAGGGCGCCATCAAGAAACGACACACCCGAAGATCCATGCAGATGCCCACACTTTTTGATTTGCCACCAAAATGGTCTTTCACAAAAGTAGAAACACAAGGTCGACCAGGGAGCGAAGACACCTACGTAGGGTGTAAATAGGCTCTTTGCTCGCAGCATTTGGGTGGCTTTTCTTTTTTGAGGCTCCGTAACTACCCAATCCTTTGGTGGATTTAAAGAAAACCACAAATGATAGTTTTGGGAGTCCCCTGAAAGAAAACGCGGTCATTTAAAGGAACGGGCAAAAGCGTATGTTATCCAGTGTCAGTTGCACTCCTGAAAAGGGGTTCGGTTTACGCCCCCTTTTTGGCTTCTCTTGAAAACATTCCAATACGTTGCCCAAAGGACTCAGACATAAAATGTCAACCGTTTGGGTTCGTGACAAAGGTTGGAAACAGGGAAAACCAAAAGGTAACAGGTCGATTCTCTTTGGACTGAGAACAAGGGCACCCTCCAAATAATTCCTCCCCCCCCGCCGTGGCAAAAGTGAGCCCGGAACGAGCAACAAACGGATTTCCACTTTTTGCATGCTCGATGTAAAATGCAGCAGATAGGGTGGTTTGCCCTCTCCCAGACTAGTATGGAAGCTCCCCTGCAAGACTTGGTTCCATTTACAGAGGCTTTGTGGAAGCTTCCATCTTAGTCTGAGCGAGTGTAAAGTCCGTGACAGGATACGTGACCATTTGCAACCTGAAAGGGTGCTTTGACCATGGCGCAAGTAAAACCGACCCGCCTTGACAATTCCTACCATGGCGCAAAGGTGTCAGTTTCCTGTTGGTTTGCCTTTGCATGAACCCCACAAGAGCTCCCTCCAAAACCGGCACTCCCATATACACATCGGCTGGGTTTCCACATTTCCCAAACATCACCCGCTTGAAAGGCGCCAATATCAAGTCCCCTGGGTTTTTGTGGGACATGGTACGGAACAGGTCCCCCCCAAGCGACAACTCAAGATTTGCTTGCCGAGCCTACGGGATATACGGGAATCCTGTTTCAAGGGGACCCTGGACATCATTCCGGGGATTTATGTGCAGCATGTTTTTGATTGTTCCCCTTTCAGACTCATGGCCATATGGGTCTGTCTTTTTGAGGGGCTTCCCCCCCAACAAAGTTAGACGGTGGTGGTCGTTTGCTTGTTTCCCTTTAAAACCACTCAACAAAGGGTATCTTCACAAAATAACCATAGTAAGACACAATAAAGCGTTTTTAGTTACATTACTTTTGACAACATATATATATATATATATATATTTATGAACATGCCGCCCCCGTCGAACCACTGAGCTCCTGCATACGCGCCGTGGGTGCCCAGGTCCCGCAAGTACTCCCGCAAGGAGACGGCCTTGAGCTCCTGCGATCGCGCGGGCGGTCTTCGCAGACCTTCGAAGTAGCTCTTTAAACAGAACAAGCCGCCAAAAATGACCCCCAGTGGTGGGTGTCTTGGTGCTTTTGTCTTTAAACAAGACATAGCCTAAACTGTTTTTAGATAAAAACTGGGCAACCAAAGTACCACAGTATCTAAAAACCATGTCCACATAGCCTAAACTGGTTGGACCATGCTGGTGGAAAATGGCAAGCTTCGTGGGTTTTCTCGGTGGACTTGGTAAGTACAAGGCTTGAAACTCGCGGGGCCTCGCTCCAGTGGCGCCACGGGAAACAACAGCCTCGGTCGTTGAATCGAGTACCTCCAGTGGTGGGTGTTTTGGTGCTTGTCTTGAAAAATCATGGCCTGTGCAGGGGAACCATCCTTCTAGGGTTTCTTTGGTGCAGGATTTCTTCCATCAACAGTACGGGACCTCCAACAATGGTGGGTGTTTGTTGGTTTGCTGGAAAACCATCCCACAAAGGGCGCCATCCAAAAAACGACACCCAAATATCCATCCTGGGTGGATGGGACCAAAAAAGCTTCCAGACGTTCTCTTTGACAATAAAATGGTTGTCCCCAAAAGAAAAAAAAACATGAATTTCAGGAAGTGAGGCAAAGTGGCATCGGTTCTTGGTTGGGTTTCTCTTTGCCAACCAAAAAAGAGCAACCAACAGGAAAACCGCCATCGCTTCTCTCTTTTTGTTTGGGGGCGGGGGTCCTGAAAAATGACAGACCCCGGTCACTTTGCACCCAGGACGTAAAAGGGCAACTTACCCAATGGCTTGAGAACATATTTCGCTCCTCACCGTCAGGCACCAAGACGTTGACGTCGTCAGCCGACACCTTACCCAGCCTGGCAACATGCACAAGCTATGTGCATCTATCCGCATTATTACATACAAATCCATACATATATATAGACACATCTATATAAACATATATATATATGTATAATATGCATATACTTTTTAGCTGTACATGAGTCAGAACAAAAGGGATATCAACAGATCTACACGTGAAAATACAGTCAATATAGCTTTAATCAGCATACACAAAGATGAAGGCCATTGGTGTGAGGGCAGCATGTTCAAACCGGTGGAAGAGGTCAAGGTCACTGGTGTGAGGGCCGCCAGCCGTTGGCTTGAGAAACAGAGGTGTTCAACTGCTCGCCGTGAAAGACGCCGAAAGCGCGAAGAAACCTCCGGGGTTCAGTGGGAAAATGACACCCCACACGAACCCCCTACATCACACCCACAGCCCCCCCTTCGGAAGAGAAACAGGAAGGGAGGTAGAAAGGGCGCTTTAAGAAAGGGATCTTGGTGGCTTTTGATTCGTTGGCGGCAAAATTTGGGCTCCTTTCCGGTATCCCCTTGAGAACGCGACACCTTGGTGTCAAAAAGAGACCAGTTGTTCGACAACCTTCTGCGAAAAGCGCTCCTTTTTGTAGGGTCCAACGGAAATCAGACTTGTTTCCCGCTTAAAGATAAAGTCCAAAGATCCAACCAATTAGCCATAAAGGCACAACCCCCCGTTGGTTGCACCCTTTTGTTGGAAGACACGCCAAGCTCCTGCTAAGCGGCGCCTCTCGTTCCAGTTGTTGCTGCGCACGGTGTAGAGTTGTTGCCCTGCACGGTCCAGCAGCCTGTGAGGCGATGAAACCATCACTGAGTGGTTCTCAACATGGCGGATTTTCTTTTGGTTGGTACCTGAAGGTTAACCCTCAAAGAAACCAGCCATTTTAAGGGCCAGTCTGTTGAGATCCCCTTCTGTGCACGTCCTTTTTAGAGTTGTCGCATCCTTTCTGAGGTGGATGGAAGGAACACCAAAAGCAAAAACCACCCGATCCAAGCTGGTGCGCCACTTCTTGCTGTACGCCCGCAAACATACCAACCAGCCCCCTATGAAGTCAAAGATAGACCAGGTGTGTTTGGGCGCAGTCGCTGACAAAAGAATCTTACAGCCCTAAAGGTCCGATCTATATAAACCTCGGTACCGAGAATTCGATTCGAACCGCTTCCCGGAAAAGGACCTATGTTGGGGCCAATATGGACCCTTCATGAGCACTCACCCATGAAACCCACCCGAAGGCTCACGACCCCATTCCACCCCTCAAAGGCCCTTGAAAGCAACTCGCTTTGAGGGCCTCAAATCAATCGGGAGGGCAGAAGGACATGGTGGGCGCAGCGGATCACAAAGACAAGCCATACCAGGCCTATGTTTGCGCAGGCAAGTTCGCGACCGCAAGGAAACGTAATCTAGAACATGTCCGTCCGGCAAGTATGGGTCTGTCATGTTTTTAGGATACCCATTGTTGGATGGTTTTAAAGGGAAACCAAAAGGAAAACCCAATCTTGGAGGGGTCTCCGAAAAAAAGACACACCCATATACTGCAAGCATGCAACTATACACTTTGTGATCAAACCAACCCTTACAATCAAAATGAACGTGAGCCAAGCAAGTCTGCTTCGCAAAAATAAATGATTCCTGGTTCTGACAATTTCAAGAGGGATCCTAGTTTGATCATCATGATGGCAGCCACCGCGCATCCGCAGCTTCCGTTGGTTCTCAGAAGTTTGGCAGTGCGGGTCGAGTCAAAGAAACAAGATAATATATAGCCCGCGATTTCGCTCCTTTTGTACCAGGACTCTCAAACTACCCTTAAAGAAGGGAAACCACCCCACAATTTTGGGCAACTAACCCATTTTGTGTGGGTAGTTTAATTGTAGACACAAGAAGCGGCTTGAAGCTGTGAGCCACCACTTCCTTTTGTCGACCCGAGTCGTGTCGCCTCGAGTCCGTGATGTTGGGCCCGGAGCAGCTCAAGCTATTGCCCATGCCGCTGCGGCAGCAGTCGTCCCAGGATACCACCTGAGCCACAATCAAAACCCGGCTATATACTAAAATGGTGAACCCAGAACCATGCTTCAAGAATTGAACAGGATTTCCGGAAAAACCCTCCCGAAACCCTGCCCCCCGCCCCCCAAACCCGGTATTACAATGGTCGTAATCCCAGAACCATGCTTCAAGAATTAAGAAGGCGGATATCCGCAGCTATTTATGGCTGGGATTGGCCCTTACTAACCTTCATCTACCCGGGTTTTGATGGTGGCTCACCTGAGCAAAGGAAAGACTTAGCTGGCCTGGGAGTGAGCTGGCCATGAGTCAAAACCCAAGTCGGTTAGCCCCCAGTGAACATCCGATTCAATCCAACCACTAAAATAGGTTCTATAATGGGTGGTGAATTCACCTACCAACCAAAATGGCACCATTGGTTTTGACCCACAGCCAGCTAAGTAGATTGTAACTCACTTACCATGGTTCTAAGTCCCCTATATCGAGGGCTAAAAAACCTTTTGGCTAAGTCCCAGACCATCTAAGTAGGCCAGCAAGCCCCCAATTTTGTAAACAAAGGCCCTATTACCTGGAGGGTCGTGGAGAAAACCCAAGCACAAGGGGACAAGCCTGCTGCTCAACTGGGAGCAGCCGAACCAACGGGGTTGCGGGGTTGCGGGGTGCCAGCAAAAGTCAAATTGAAGTACCTGGAGTCTCCTTGTGACCCTTTAACAATGGCTCAATGCCCTCATTATGTTAGGTACTGACCCCATTTTTTAAGGGTCAGAAGGAGACTCTAGGTATATCAAGCCCATGAAGTTGGAGGAGTGGGAACACAGAGCAGGGTCTCAAAACACAAGCGCATGTGCAAATCGCGGCTTTGCTCTGGTAGACATTCCAAAAGAAGCAACGGAAAAGCAAGCAAGCCCATGATTTCCATGATTTTATGTCTGGAGTATTGTTCGAAGGCCTTGCTCACTTTCTCGGCGTTCCAGGTGAACCTGAAGAGCTCGGTCATGTTCACCCCGGATTAATTAGGCGGAACCCCTGGTTGATTTTCATGGGGGGGTGTCCCCTTTTAGTGGGGGGTGTATCACTTTTGGAGGGAACACCCCGGTGATAATGGGACGGCATAGAAATCCTGGGTCAACATTCTGCCAACATTGCAGGCCGCAATGTCAACCTCGGACTCATCCGGAGGGCTGTACTAATCAGGTGCTCCCTTTGTAGTAAGGAAATGATATCTATTATAGGAGGTCCTCTGAATAGTAGGGGTCCGAAGTAATCCGAAGATGACATCGCCCCAGCAGCATAAGTTCAATGAGGTGTGACCCTCCAGACTTTTGGCCGACTTGCTGAGTTCATCGGAAGTGACATGCGGGAAGTAGTCTGTGCCACACCCCCTCCGCGCCGCCCCGCGGCATTGGCTCCTAGCCTCGAGTGTTGCATCTCACATGCTCAACGGACTCCCGATCAAAACCCGGAAAATTAAGATGGTCTACCCAGAACCATGTACAGAATTGGCCCCCTCCCTCCCCTCCCTCCCCTCCCCTCCCCCTCCCCTCCCCCTCCTCCCCTCCCTCCCCTCCCCTCCCCCCCCTCCTCCCTCCCCCTCCCCGCCCCCCTGAAAAAACCGCACCTCGCAGGAGTAGTTCGCGTAGCTCCCGCCCTGCGAAGCGCAGGTCTCGTTGATGGCCGCCATCGCCTCACCCACGCTGCAGGAGGAAGCCTCGCCTCAGCCACGCGGACGCGGGTCCGTGCGCGGTGCGCCCGATTTTGCTTTGGAGGGGACCCGTTTTTGTGGATGGTTGCGAAACGTTCCTCGCACACCACGAAATACAATGCTATGTTTGAAACCATAACGGTGTATTGGTGTGTACAGGGCAATCATCTCAGAAACCTAGACAAAATGGATTTCGCCCAAACATCTAATTTTCCAAATGGGCCAGTGTGGTTGTTTCAGGGTACCCGTGTTCACATGGGTTTATGGCGAAACCAAAAGGGAACCCACCACCATTTAAGGGTCCCCCCCTATGTTGACACATACCTTATATTGTTGACCCCATATTAACAAACCCCGGTTTAACTCCAAAAGTGATGACTTCCCACTGAACCCAGGGACACCCCCTATTAGTAAACTGGGGTTGATTAAAAGGGGGTCGACACTACCACTGGGTACACAAAAAGAACACATTTGGAAATCTCGAGGACACTCTTGGGCAACTGGTGGGCCACTGGGAAGCCATGTACGCTCGCACTGATTGTTACTCACAAGAACCAGGGGTCACTGGATTTCCACAATCAATTTGCGAGTGCACAGTTTCCATTGAAACGATCGCCACTTTGGAGGTGTCAAAAGCGGTCCTGGAGGAATCCCAGTATACCCTGGAGTCTGCATGACCCTTAAAACATGAGGTCATTACCAAAAATAATGGGGTCATTGACCCATTTTTTAAGGGTCATGGACCATGGAGATTCCAGGTACCTCTTTTCTTGCAGCCTTGAACGGAAACCGAAAGGAGGACTAAAGGCCATATTTCGGGGGTCCAACCGAAACCAAGACATGGGTAAAGAACCAGAGACCAAAGGGCACCTGCCACCACCAGGACTTCGCGCACGCCATCCAGAACGTCCGCGTCAGACAGCTCCCGGCCGCCATCGAAGAGCTTCAGGGCGGTGGCCTCTCGGGCGATTCGTCACGTCGGGTTCAAAGCTGAGGACTTTCAGGAGGTGGCTGTGGTTGTCCAAACCCATGGGATCCCATTTTGGGGTTTTCGGTGCACCACCCATTTTAGAACCTATTTTAGTGGGGATTGGGATGTTCACTGGGGGTACGATTTGGATTTTGACCCATGGCCAGGTTGAGCTGCAAAGAAACGGGCGCGCGCAAGTTTGAGGGTTCCCCTTTTGGGGTGGCGTTAAAGGGAAACCAACAGGAAACCAACCTGAACCTGGCATGGAAATCGATGCTATCACAATTTCGGTAGAAAAAAACATGTGGCAAGTATGTATATATATATATATATATATGGTATCCCCTTCAACTAATGCCCCTAGGTTGCTTCCCCTTCAGCCGGGTCTTTTAATCCAAACCGGACTCCGCTGGAGCTCTTGGTTGTTTAGCACGCTCCATTTCCAAGTGTCCCCATCTGGTCCTTCTCATTGTGAAGAAGAAGGGCGATCTGAGCGTCTTCACAAAGCACTCAGATGCTCTCGGATGCCCGGCGGCTATGTGAAAAAATGATCGGCGCCCTTGCTTGGTTGGTTGAGCTTAAAGGAATCAGAACCCTTACCCAAGAAAGTGGACAAAAGAAAGCAAGCCACTGGGCAACAGAGAGCAAAAACTGTCCCACACCTTTCAAGTGACCCTAAAGCTGGCTGGTCGCATGCGGGTGGCACGCCAAAGCCCATCTCCACTTTGTCACTTAGGTTCCCCGGTTCGCATGACTGGGGAGTGCTGAGATTCCCTGCTAAAAGTTGAAAACTGTTAGAGGGTAAAATGGACACCCACCAAGAGTCACCAAGAACCTAACCACCAAGGGGAACCACCAAGTTGAGACAGCCAGCAAACAGGCAATTTGATCCAGTCATTCCATCCCATTATTGACACCTGTGAGTGTAGCGCCCGCCCCCATTGCGACCACAATAGACAAAATGCATGAATACGCAACACCATTCCCGGACCAAACCGATGGGTGCCTACTCAAAACGGTTCCATACCCCCGTTGGGCTCATTTGGCTTCGAAAACCAACGGAAAACCAGCCATTTTCCGGGACTGATTCCTATTTTGATAACCCCCTTGGGTGTGTCGTCGTGTGAGGCTACCTCTTTTCTTGTGGGGAAACCGAAAGGAGAACTAAAGCCATAGTTTGGGGGGTCCAACCAAGGCCGAGACATGGGTCTAAATGAAACCATCAGAAAATCGCAGATCCTTTCCAAATAAACCAGGGCAACCCATTTTGGCGTTGCCCTTCCTCCCACTACACATGGCACCTGAAAGAAGGTACCTGGAGCATCAACTTCCTCTTAAAGGGACCAGGTCCCTGTCACATGCCATGACAACGTGGGAGGAAGGGTACCCAATGTTTGACACCCACATCTTCCGTTTTCTTTCTCGCCCCATGGAAAAAATATGTCCGATTCCCTTTAAAACCAGCAGGGCAAATAACGACTATTCATTTTGACAAATGGACGACACCCAAACACCAAAGAGTTGTCCTTTCCAAATAAACCAGACCAACCCATGTTGGGGTTCCTGGAGTCTCCATGACCCTTAAAAGATGGGGGCATTACCCAAAATAATGGTTGGTCATTGACCACATTTTTCAAGGGTTAGAAGGAGACTCCAGGTTGCGGTACCCGATTTTTGACCGACCCCAAAGAAACCTCGGTTGCTTTCTGCTCCCCTGCTAAAAGTTTAACTTTGGGTGGTGAAATGGAAAACCCATTAGTTGGCAAAAAGGTAAAGTCCTAACATCCAAGCAAGATGCAGCAAACACTCAAGAATCTACCAAACCGCAAAGTGTTGTCCTTTCCAAATAAACCAGGCCAACCCATTTTGGGGTTGCGGTACCCGATTTTGATCGACCCCCAAAGAAACCGCGTCCTTGAACTGCGGCCACTGCTTCCGTAGGCGCTGCTTTAGCTCCGCCGCTCGGCTGAGCTCCGGCAGACGCACCTCCGCAGTCTCCCCGGAGACCAGCGCGCAGCGAATTTCCGCCATCGGGACACTCGCGGGCCAACCGGTTGGGCCGCCTTGGGTCGCTTTGACTTTCGAGCCAACTAAAGAAGAACAAAAGAAGAGGAGCAAACACACAAAATCAGAAAAATAAAACAACAAAGAGAAACAAACACACAACACCAAAAACAACAAAACACAATAATACAATACACAACATGAAAACAATCACAACAACATCCTTTTGCAAAGGAATCTTCTGTTGGACGATGCTTTCTCGAGAAACGTGGCCTCCATGCGAATTCCCCAGCGGTGTCGTACGATCAATGACAGCTTGACATGTTGGATGAACTAGTCAAAGGGCCCAATAGAACCAATACCTTGTCCTTAAAGTTGACCCCTAATTCTAAGAAGCCAAGCTTTCCTTGGCTTCAAGCTTTGCAAAACAAACAAAGGACACGTTGCTTAATTGGCTCCAAAACACCAACCTTCATGCAGCACGGGCCAGCTTACTCGAAGCAACCCTCACTAGCGGCTTTCCCAGTAGGTTCATGACGCAAACACCACGCCATTTTCCAGCAAGCTCCTTCAAAATAGGTTATACCTGGAGTCTCCATGACCCTTTCAAAATGGGACAATAACCGCATTTTTAAGGGTCATGGAGACTCCAGGTAGCCATCCTTACAAGTGGGATTGCTTTTGACCATGAGGCTTGCAACAAGCTTGCCAAGTAGGATGAACAAAAGATAACTTATCCAGCAACATGCCAATTGTGCAGCACAAACTTAACCCGGTTTCACCAAGTTGCCTCGGGGAAAACAGAACCTTTGGAATTGTCTCTAGCCCAGTGCTTCCAGGCAAGCCACAGAAGTAGGTAGGCTGGGTATAATATAAACATACCTGGAGTCTCCATGACCCTCAAAAAAAATGGGGGGGGGTATGACTCAAAATATCTCGGTGGTAATTGGAAGCACTGGGAATGGTTCTCCTTTTCACCCGCTTACCCTCCCGACTATCAAGGATATCAAATCCCGAAAGCTCGGTCCATGTCAAGGCCGAATTTCATCCAGGCAAACAGAACCCACGCCGCTCCCTTTTTCTCTGGTGGCAAAGGCGTCATGCCTTACATTGCCAACTCTCAATATTCAAGCCGTAACCTGGCACCGAAATATGTTCTATTGGTGAAAGGCATAAGATCTGCAATTTCGACTACCTAGAGTCTCTATGGGTCATGATCCTTTTATCTTGGGTGACCAACCAATTTGTTTACGTCATGGGGACTCCAGGAAGTTCCGAATCCTGCAGCAAGGGATTCACAAGCCATTGCCCCTTAGGGACCCACAAACAAACAGATTGACCTTTCCGGACTTTGACTAAAAGGCAAAAAAAAGAACACCAAAAAGTCAAGACGTCGATTTGCTTTGGGCAAGCAAGCCTAACTCGGTTGCTTTCCGCTCCCCTGCTAAAAGTTTAACTTTTAGTGGTTTAATGGAAAACACACTAGTTGGATTTATTTTTTAGTCCCAACATCCAAGCAAAATCCAAGCAAAATCCAAGCAAAATGCACCAAAGTCAAGGAACCCTGAACCACAAAGGACCGAGAACCCCCCGGCTCGCGCTTTCCGCTTTCCGGTCGGCATGCGGCCCGCAGAAAGGCGTTTTGGGAGGGGTCAGGGCCGGAAAACGGAAACACCTGCTATACAAACCCTAAATGTATGGTTGTGTGTTTTGCAAATGGAGAGAACCCCAAAATACTTGCTCGTTGATTTCGCTTGACAGCCCCAAAAAACGGCTCCTAAAAAAGACACACCGGCAAAGTGGGGTTCAGACTGGGGCCTCCCTAAGTAGGCTTCCAGTATGCGAGAGGAAAAATAAAAAGCTTACAAGTATGTGCACAAGCAAGTACTGTTTAGCATTGGCTTAGTATTGGTTTAGTATTGGTGTAGTACTATTGTGTACTTCGAATTGGTTCAGTCCTGGGTTAGTACTATTGTGTCCTTAGATTATTTTTAGTATTGGCTTAGAATTCCTCAGCTCTGGGCCCTGGGTGCAAAGCATTTGTCTCTATTTCCTACCATTCCCCTCCTTGGCGTTTTCTGTACCACGCCCTTTAAAAAGAACATATGGCTGGCAGGTTTAGTAAAGAGTGTGATAAATAGCCAAGGGCTGTGGACCTCAGTCAGGTCAACTCTTGGTAGCTTTGGGGCACGAGAGTAGCTGGGACTTGTGTATAAAGCAGGCCTCCAACCAGCTGGGAGGTTCCCAGGCGCCATTGCTTCTGTATTTCCTACCCGGAATTTGGTTTTCAGGTGAGGGAATAAGTCTCGGATTTTGCTTGTACAGAAAAACTCCCCATTTGAAAAAATCGCTACCCAACATTACCCCACAATACCGTTCTCTATATTCTGGTTTGGTCCTTTGAGCCCTCCCCTCCCTCACTATAATTAATTGGAGGGTTTGGGCGTGGGCCCTCTACGAGGCACTCCCCCACAGTTCACTAAGACCAAATGAAGTCATAGGAGAAGTAAGGTGTGCAATTCGTTGGCCACTCATTCTGTGGGTGGACGAAATCCATTTGGCACCCAACAAGCACTGGTTTCAATGGTTTTATTTCATGGTGCGAACGGATTTTGATCTTTTGGTCACGATTCATGTTAACCCACTCATCAACCTCGCTCAGTAGCAATGAGCCGAACCCCTCCCCCCCAAACGTGATCCAGATCCCCTAAATGGGACCCACTTTCCTTAGTTGGCGGTGTGGGAAACAAAAAGGAAACCACCGGTGGTGCCCCATCTTTTCCGAACCCATTCATCAACCAGTTATTGATCCTGGGTCTGGATTGCCGATCCAAGGACGATGGGATCACCAAGAATCATAGAAGTCTTAGCCCACTTTGGCTTAGCCCGCCCACGGCTTTCCAGCCCCGGACCTGTCAAGTCACAATCTGAGAACTACCGAACAGGTGAAGAATCAGCAGCCGCAGCGGCTGGTTGGGAGTGCTCATCTATGGCGTCTCCTTCTGACCCTTCAACTGGGTCATGACACCTGACAGAGGGTCCCTGAAGGGGAAGATTGATCTTCCAGGTACCCTCCCCCAGAAATGCTATGTTAGTGGCAGCCATTTGTTCAGGGTCATGGAGGCTCCAGGTACCCGGTTTTGATGGCTCGATGGGCCCCGCGCACTCACTCACCGCGCGCGCGGCCGATCATCGCCGCCAGCTCAGGGGGCCCCCGCACGATGCGGCGCGTGGCTTCGCTGATGCAGACGCACCGCACCAAGACCCGCGCCACACAGACGTCGGCCTGGCAAAGGGGCGAGCAATGAGATACCTGGAGCCTTGACACTGAAAAAGATGGTTGGTCGTTAATTACACCAAAATAAAGGGGGGTCAAAACAAGACTCCAGGTGGCTTGTCTTCCCCTCATTCTCCTCTTTCAGACTCCATACTTGTGCGCAGGGCTTTCTGTCCCAGGGCACTGGTGCAATTACGGGGGTGCGGGGAACATTTTGGACCCCATCCAGGTGGAGTGTTTCCTCTTGGTACCCCGTTCAAACCATCCAAAAGAAAGGTTCCCCGATTTTGAGGCAGACCCATATCAAATATAAATCAAGGACATATACATACCAACATTCTCCAGTCAGGCTGTGACAGGAATGCAGCCCCGTTTCGGCCGGCATTCTTGGCAACCGTCCCATGTGAGCAGCTAAGAAAACGATCTCCCAACGATGCCCAAAGCGTAAGACACTTTGGACTATCCAACAACTGATGGCAATGGTGCCCGTTGCTCATATGCAAAGAGTTGCTGATTGAAAAAAGTGAACGGCCAGAAACCATCACTCCGATCTGATTGCTTCTCACTGGAAGGCTATGTGAGGCCAGTGTGGCTCCTTCCAAATGCCCGATGGTTCACACGGCTGAAGGAGTCTCCTTTTGGGTTAGGCCTCCCCCATAAAGGGTGTCCATGTTAATGTGGTGTGGATAATTTCACCATCGTTTGGATGCGCTTGCAACATGTCACCAGGAGCGACGAAAAGCCCGAGCAGGAACCCAACAAGTCGGAGTCAAACGCCTCCCAAGGCTCGAGCGCAGCCACCCGGGCGTGCTTGTGCTTCCCCTTTGGGGGCGTTGAATCTCTTGAGCCACTTGAGCATTGACCCTTACCTGCTTTTGTGAAGACACCTGGAGTCGCCATGACCCTGAAAAAATGGGGTCATGGCCCCTTGATTTTAGGTAATGCCACCATTTTCTCTTGCTCATAGGGACCCCAGGTACTCTATTCACCTCCCAAAAGAAAACCCACCCCCCATTTTGATTTTGTTTCGGCTGAAAGGAAGCCAAAAAGAAAACCAACCCATTTCGTTCGGGCTCCGCCAGTTTTGAGACACACACACACACACACATCCGCCTCGCCCGCTTCGTAGAGGCGCTCCTCACAAATCATCTGGCCACGCCGTGGCTTGTAGTCCACGTGACCTCACCACTGGCGATTCGGAACGTCGCCGCTCCTCGCTGTGACAGAAAAAGGCAACCAGGCTGTTCACCAACAACATGATCCAGACAAAAATGTAAAGCCCACAAACTTGCTGGACATGAGTGTTTCATGGCCCGTGACCAACAAAGTATTAGATTGTAATGGCTTGGGTGGTGTGAGGGCAACTCCTCTTGGACTTCCGTGTGGGTTGTCGGTTGCAAACCACTCACACAACTTGGCCGAACATCGAATTACATGGGCAAAATGCCGCTTGTGCGTGGTTCGTGGTTCCCCAGCTAAAGGACCTTCATCCTACCCAGTGCCTCCAAATACCACTTCTGTAGGTAACCCGCAAAACCCATGATGTACAATCTGGAGGTAGATTTACACTGGGCTAGATAATTAAGCTCGTTTTATTCCGTTCGCCAGGTTCGTGGAGTTGTCAGAACCCGAGCGAAACTAGTGCCCAGGTTGAAGCAAACTGACGTTAACCCTAAAACTGGCTTCCTGAGACTGGCCAAGAAAATGGTCTGCGGGTCATTCCCTCATTGACTCCAACACCAGCAACACGACGGGGCACCAAAGAAACTCCCTTTGCCCACCCTGTTCCCAAAAAGTGACTCAAGGCAATTAACAACTCTGCTTTTTCTACCTTGTTGACTGATTTATCCTCTATTTTCCGCCACCCCTCCGCAAAAAATGTTTCACGTTTAGTAGAACCAATACGGAACATCCGACTGTTTCAACCAAACAGTTGAAGTCCAAAGATCCGTTACCAAACAGCCACAAAGAAAGAACACTCAAAAATCAAGTCCTGGACTTTAGTTGACTGGTTTCTCCCAGCTTTTCGGACCCAAAGACCCAAAGGGGGCCAGCAAAAATCAGGTATCCCTTAGTTTGTGGTTTGGATGTGTGGTGTGGGATTTGAAACCCTGGTCTTTGTAGCGGTTCAGGGAAACCACCAACCTACCATCACCAAACCACCGGGCTCCAAAGCACCAATCAGGGGGATGCCGCAAACAGCCACTTAACTCAAACAAACACCTGGACCTCTGGCCCTTGCTCACGGATTTCTCTGTCATTGATTTTCCTGCCCCCAAAGCGCCCAAAGGGAAGCTGCAAAAATCAGGCATCCCCTAGTTGCTGGCTTGGATCATCTTGGATTGGGAGTTCAAGCCCTTGACCCATCAGAGGGAAGCTGCAAAAACCGCACATCGCACCTCAGCATGATTAGAGTTAGGCCCAGTTTTTGAATATAGACTTTATTGTTTACTTTACTTTGAGTCACTGGCAATATGCAAAATGAATCCTAAGTCCTTGGTTGCTGACCTGCAAACAGTGAATCACTTTTTGGGGGGAAAAGTGGAAAACCCAACTCAAAGTCAGGGCTCTCTCCGGTCAGGCCCTCTCCGGTTATTGCCGAGTCGCTGCGCACCACCCATGCGGAGTCGCCTCTGGGCACCAGGGAGGGGAAGTACTCCAGGCGGTCGATGCGCGCCACAACCTTCGGCGGTTTCGATTGCGATCCGTGCGATAGGTGGAGGATGGTCGCGAAATCCATAAAACGCACCACCTAAGAAACCCTGGAATGTGCATTTTTTGTAAATACCAAGATTTGGTCTCCTCAAAGCAAGCCACAAGTTAGATTGTTTAGGGTCCTTCAACGGTTTCGATTGCGATCAGTGGGATAAGTGGGGAATGTGGGGAATGAACCCATGCTTTGGTCTACTTAAAGGAAACCACCAGTTAGATGGTTTAGGGCAGGGTCATTTGTTTCTGAGGTTCAGCCACCACCGTTAAAACAATAATGGAGGTAATATAACCAGCTCGATTTACCTAAATTTCATCAGCTAAATTGGGGCCCAGGGCCATTTTGATGAGGGCAAAGAAACCCTAGATGTTTCCTATCCGGGGAGGTTGTGATGTATGTCAAGAAGCCCTGAGCTGGCTGTCTAGATTGGTGGGGGTTCAATGACCCTTAAACAACGGGGTCACCTACCCAACTTTTGGGGGGTCACCTTTTTTCCTCCCCAGACCCGTGGCTACGGGGCAAGCTTTGGCAGTCTTTCTTGGTACTCATGTTAAAGGGAAGCCAAGCATTGGCTTCCTTGCAACAAAACCAACAACAATGCCCAGCGGAGTTCCATGGAAAACAAATGGATCGGCACCCTGTTTTCGGTAGTTGACTTCGAAGAGAATTCTCTTCAATAAAAGGAAACAAGGGCACCACGAGGTGCAAACAAATCCAAGAAGGATTTTTCTTGATCAACTGCTCGACCTTAAACCTTGGACTCCCCAGTCATTTCTTTGTCCATCACTTTAGAGGGCAAGAATGTAAGATGGTCGAAAGAACGTTAAGACCCAGTTTCACTACCCCAAAACCACAATCGCCGACGGGGATTGGTAGCGTATATCCTTCTTATGGTGTCTAGATAGTGGGGTTACACCGGTAAACCGAGTTTGCCTTGGGGGGTGGTTTTGCGGGTGGCGGAAACCCTCATAGAAAGAATGAAACATGAAGGGCAAGGGCTGGGGCTAACTTCCTGTTTAAACCATGTTTGGGTTCAAGGATACATACCAACACCAACTGCTTTGCAGGGATTCGATCCTAAATTCGCTCGTATTTAGGTGATGTATCTGGCCCAACTCTATCCTACAAGAATCTGGGGGATACTTCTGTGCCCCTGGGTTTGCGACCAAAGATTCACTCACTGGTGCCCATTTCTGGGTATGTCAAGGATGTAGAATGGCAAAACAAGCTCTTAGAAAGCAGCCGAGAACAGCAGAACCATGCCGTGTGTCCTTTTTTGTTGTTGAGGGTATTTTTTGGAAACAAAGGGAGACGCCAGCTGTTTGGTGGAGGGGTTATTAGATAGGCTCTCAAAAATAGGGACCCCCGACTGGTTAAAACAAACAACCAATTAGCCACTTCCACAAATCAATAAAATTACGATTTGTGCTGCATTGTTGTTTCAAGTCTTGCAGGAAGGGACGGGCCATGTGGGCCTTTGTTGCTTGAGGATAGTTGCTTCACATTTAGTCTACCCCATCACATCATGTTGGAGGAGAAGGGATCTATTGAATCAGCAGGTATTTGGGTGATGTGTCAACTGGCCAAAATGTATCCTTTAAGCAACCCTGAAACAGAAACTCGCTCAGTCACCAGCCGCTGTGTAAATATTATCTTGTTGGTTCCTCTTTACAGGTGGCAAACATTCTCACAATGGCTTGTTCTTGCCATTGTTGTGTATATTTTGAACAACTAGGTTGAAACCTCGGCAATTTAACTCCTGTTTTAGCGAAGTTGGTTGATCTCATACCAGTCATGACCCCTGCTTAAAGGGGCAGAAGGAGAGACTCCTGGGTATTTGGATGCGTCTTTTTCGGGCACCCCACAAGGTTGCGTCGGTGCTCCTTTTGGTTTCCCTTCAAAAAACCCAAACACAGTTTCCAAAACAAAACACATGCCCATTTGGAAGACTTGCTGGTGCTCAGCAGGAAATGAGAAATGGAATGACCCCAAGAAAAAACATCCCATATGGTGTCCTAGGGAATCCCCAATGGTTCATTCCAACTCATTCCCCACTTATCGCACCAGCAAGAAACCCCAACCTGAATATGGTTGTGGCTCAAAATCAAAGAGCTCGGGTTGCGCAGGTTGTAGTCTCTGGTTTCCATTTACCAACGTGCCATTTTTGTACAGGCTGTAGACCCACAGCCATATATGAACCCAACCTTATCATGGGAACCCGCCAAGGTATGATTTTTGATTAGAGGCGATTCCCCCAAAAATAAGGGAATGACCCTTACAATAACCATCCTTCCATGGTTTCCTTGGGAATCCCCGGGTTCATTCCATCTCATTCTTGCATTACTTCTCGCACCAAGATGAATTTCGATAAAGCAAGAAACCCCAACCTTTTCTTTTAAAAATTCACCCAACCAGAATATAACCCAACCTTATAATGGGAACCCGCCAAGCTATGAAATTCGAGAGGCGATGAGGATCCCCAGGTCCACCACGTCCTGCAGCGCCTGGGGCCCTCCCAACGCGTCGGACCTGGAGCGCTGGTTCCCAGCGCAGCAGGTCGTGCAGACTGGGCACCGGGAAGGCGTGACGCCTCAAGAATCGAACCGCCGATTCGCTTCAGGCGCCTTTTTGGTAGCCCCGGTAACCCACCCAATGCCCGGCTTTTTGGTTTAAGGGTATGATGTCGACCCTCTTCCAACAAAACGATATACCGGGGTATGTACCCCTGGAAAACCACATACCCTAAAGTCGAGGGTATTTGGAGTAGGGATACCTTTTGGGGTTTGGTTCAAAGGAAAACCGCCCGGAAAACCTCTAAGCCTGTTTCGGGGCTTGGGGAAGTTCCACACCTGGGGATGGCAGAAGATTCTCCTAAGGACTGGTGGGCTCCATGCTAGTGAACTAAAGGGCAACTACCTGGAGTCTCCCTCTGACCCTGAAAAAATGGGTCAAATAATCCCATTGTTTTGGGTTTTCCGACCAACCATTTTCTAAGGGTCAGAGGGAGACTCCAGGTACCACCCGCATTTTTCTTGTTGGGTCCGAAAACCGTTTTGGGCAACCGAGTCAGCCCGGCCCATGACTCTCATGGAGCACCCAGAACGTGACCCAAACCACAAACCGAGGCCCCAAACCAAAACCGCGCGCCCTGAGGTAAACCAAGGATTGGCGCTTTGGGCTTCTGGGTTGATGAAAAGGGGACCAAGATTTACTGTTCTTGGGCTGTTAGTTGTTGATTTCTGAATCTTTCTTTTCCGGGTTTGGATGACCCACGGATTCGAACAAATCGCTGCACATACGTTCGACGTGATTGCCCGTTGGCCAGCAAGCAACGGGCAGCCTTGTATTGAAAGGCAAGGTCACAAAAAGGAGTCAAATTTGATTGAAACATCCAGCAACAAGTTGAAAGTTGTCAAAGTTTAACAAGTAGCAACTGGTTTCTTGGAGCCCCGAGTGAAATTTCTCACGCCCGCCCCGGTTGGGCCTGAAATAACCTCCGAGCCCCAGCTGGTTTCAAGCTCGAAAGCTCGAAAGCTTCGGGAGACTTGCTGGTTCATTTCCGCAAGCCACACCAAGATCAAAGCAGTCTGCAAGTTGAAAAAAAAAAACACATTGGGTTTTGGGTACAGCTAGGCAAGCCTATTGTGTCGGAACCTTCGAGCTTGGCGTATTTCCTTTGAATGTGCTTGATGGTTGAAGAGCTTCCAACCATATATAGTAGGTAACCAAAGGAGCCACCATTAAAAAAAAGGACAATAGCTGGCTACCTAGAAATGAGCTTGCCTGGGATCCACGGGGTATTGCACCTGCCTCCCTTCGAGCAAAGGTCTCCCTTGTCAAGCTGCAACTGTGACGTTTTTGGGGAAGGCTTTGCGAGGGTGGAACAGGTCGCTTGCGAATTGCTCGTTTTCCGTTTGAGCCAAGGCCAGCTAACTGTGGTGCGTTGGTCAGGAAACACACGGCTTCAGATCTGATCTTTCAAATGGTTCAGACCCAAACTGGTTGAAGTGAAGTGAGAAATCTCAAGTCACGAATCGCCATACTGATGGGCCAAATACCTGTTGGGGTGGATGAACACCTATAGGACAAACCACCTATATACTAACTGGCCAACTGGCGCGGTTTTGCGCACTCGCAGGAGGGTATGGCTCAAAATCGGGGGGCCCTACAAATGGTGTTTGTTCCTTTCGGCTCCCCTTCAAAACAACGCAAAAGGGATACCAACTCAAAAAAAAACACCCACACCCACACACAAAGGACACGCATGGATCCGATCGTTTCGCCGCTCGACGGCCCACTCGTTTCTCTGGGTTTCCCCGGCTCGAAGCGGGAGATCTCGGTGGGTGGCCCGCTCGACGCCATGGCCGGAAACTCCCCGCGGCCGAGGTCCAGTTGGCCGTCCGTGACCTCCGGACTTGGCTTTGGCCATGACTTCTTGCCCAACTTTGGAAGTGTCACACACATGAGTCACATGAGGAACTGAACTACCTACTTGGATGTTCATCCAACTTTGGAAGTAGGTTATAGCCATGGTAAGGAGACCAACCCCAATTACCCACTTTAACCATCACCTTCAAAGGCTTTGGCCCATTTCCTCAAACAGTTCCGGACCCCTTTCTGGCGGTTGCATAGCTGGGATGCCAGCTGTATGGTCCAATCTCGTGAGTGTCACACAGGAGGAACTACCTACTCGGATGTTCAACCAACTTTGGTGGAAGTAGGTTGGACACCAACCCCAGTTGCCCCACTTCAACCATCACCTTCAAAGGCTTTGGCCCATGACGGCCCATGACTTCTTGGGTATTCAACCAACTTAGTCGGTTATAACATCAATTACAAGGAGACTAACCCCAGTTACCAACCACTTACCATAGTTATAACCTACTTGCCTGACGTTTGCTGAACATCTAAGGAGAAAAAGAGGAAATGGGCCCCGGCCATTTGCTCTGAAGCTGATGTTAACACGGGAGCAACAATACAAAACCGGTTTCTACAGACGAGCGGCTTATCAATCCATTTTTCGGATGTCAGTAAAGCGAACCCCGGTAATCGTGGCTGGACGTCTGATGAGGGTTCTGCAGAAAGTGGCAACTTGTTGCTGAAAAGGGGAAATTGAGGAAACCCAAAAGGGCAAACAGGTTAGTGAAGTGTGGCAGTGCTGGGGAGGCACGCAAGATACTGGAATTCACCCGCTTGACAAGGAATCTCCTGGTGAGGGTAGAAACACCTTTTAATGGACAACTGGTCACACAAACAAAATCTGGGGCCAGGTAAGAACGTGCACGTGGTTGCGGACGACCAACTTTATCTGCGACACTAAAGTGTTTTGCTTTCCATCCTCTAGAGCTCCTTGACCTTGGTCAGTCACAGAAAGCCGCAACTTGGAACCCCATCCTCTGGGTCTGAAATGGGGGTCTGCAAAAATATGCATCTGAATATTGAGCACCAGGGGCTTGTCAAAATTGGGTTTTCACTGTTGCTTGCCGTGCTCACACACACATAGTATCTGGCCAAGTTGTATCTGTTTTCACCTCAAAGGAGAAATGGACCCCGTTCCAAGGAATCTTCGTGATTTAGTGAAATGGTTCGAACACCCTTTGTGAGGTCGCCGACATTGGTCCCATAAATTTCCATTCTCAAAGAGAACGTACGGGTGTCATGTTTTGGGGAACCATTTTTTGTTGGGTTTAAAGAGACACCTGGAGGAAAACCAACCATTTTCGGGGGTCCAACGTAGTCCAACGTTAAGAAAGACAAACTGCCCATATGAGTCATAATCAAAACCTGGTACTAAAATGGTCTGCCCAGAACAATGTAAAGAAATAGAAAGGCGCCTGCACCTATTTATGGTTGGCATTATCCCTTACCAATCTTCAGCTACCTTGGTTTTGATTGCGGCCAATATGGCCATGGGTCAAAAGCCCGTACCCCCAGTGAACATCCAGAATAGACTCTAAAATGGGTGGTGAATTCACCGAAAACCCCAAATTGGGATCCCAAAACGGTTCTGACAACCACAGCCATATGGGTATGGGTCAAAAACAAACCCACCAGAAAACCGCAGGTTCTCTTCCATGTTTCCATTTACCAGGGCAACCCATTTGGGGCACCTATTTTTGACCACCACGGCCATATGGGGAAACCCTGACGGGCCCGCGCCTGCACCACAGCGGTGACGCAATCCTCCTCCGTCCTTGCTGTCACGTGCCACCACTCGCCAAGCTCCGAGCTGTCGTCCGGTGCCACGTCCGGCTCCACCTGCGGGTGGTGCTAGGTCCAACCCAGTAGAGAGGTTAGAATAAGTTGGTACCTAGAGTCTCCATGACCCTTAAAAAATGGGGTCATTACCCCAAATAATGGGGTCATTGACCAATTTTTAAACTCCAGGTACCAGCTTTTTCCTTTTTGGTCGATTTTACTAGGGGAACCCTCCCAACCAAAAAAGGGTGAGAAAGGGCACTACTGGGGGACCTAGGGTGTGTGTGTGTGTGTGTGTGGGTGTTGTTCTTCGGGTGAAGCCTGCTGCAGATCAACGTGAAACCCGAAAAACGTTGGAGCTCAACGACTGTCTTCTCGAAGCTCGGGTTGCACAGAATCTGCGTCAGTACAAGTTTGGCAACGGACATTTCATCTGCGCAGGAACATCCTTTCGCACAAAGGTACTCCTCCTTTTTTGGTCATACAGTATGTTTGCAATTGTGCACAGAAGGGTACCCGACTTTTCCCAAAAGCAACGCCTAACTACGTAGGAAACGAAAGTTGAAGGAAAGCCGCCCACTTCCATACTTCCATAGTTCCCCTGTCCAATCCAAAAGGGAACTTGGCAAACGCGCTTGTTCTGAAAGCAACCAGCAGGAAACACATCTAAGTTGGCAACTTGGCAACATAAGGAACAACACATTTAACTCTAGGAGCCCAAGACCCTAAATATGAAGACCTTGACCCCCCAAAGGCCGGAAATAATGAGGTCTTGGGCTGCTAGGGTAAGAAGGAACCCACCAAGGCTCGCCCCCTGAGCTTGGAAAAAGAGTCCCAACTTGATGTTTAACACAAAAACAGCCCCAAAAACACGCATACAGTCCAAACCAGAAACCCGGGAAGTGAAGAATATTGGAAGCCCCATTCGATCGATGTTCAATTTCTAAACCATAGGCTCTCTGATGCCTTCCAAACCGCGAGGAACCCATCCCCCCCCCTCGTACTGTTGACCCCGGAGTAATAAACCCCTGTGTATCAATATGGGGGTGTCCCGGGTTTTGGTGGGGATTCAGACCACTTTTGGAGGGGCCCCCACCCCCATATCAATAGACAGCAGCTGAAAAAAATCCGGGCACAACATTCGTTTGGGGCACTTTCCCGCGCGAAGTTTCCCGCGCCGATCCTGCCTGTACAGTGACCAGGTCCCCAAGCTTCGCCGCCTCGAGGGAGAAGAAAACGCCCAGAACATCCAGAAAGGGAAACAGCAGGTTTCTGAAAAACTCCTTGAAAAGCAATGGCAGACTTAAGCAACGTGTCATTTTTGTTTTGCGAAATCGAGTCACCCGTAGATTGAGGTCGAATTGCCTCGGGGAAATCGATGGAGCTCTGGCTCCAACGGGCCGAGTTGCTCGTGTCAATTCGCCGTGTATTGGTCGTTTTGCCCTCGGCAAGTCCCTTTACTGTGCATGGACTTTGTGGCACCTACTGTGCATGAACAAAATCCTGCACCACTTAGTAGGTGGTTTATCCCAGTATTTGTAGGGCCTCATGTATCCCAAGTGGTGCAGGATTTCGTCCACCACCCGTACGAATGTGCCCGCCTGCTTGTACCGCGCTTGGCGGATGCCGACGATAAACGGCTGCTGCCAGCCAGAAAATGCATAGAGCTCGCACAGGGCGCGCTGAAAAAAGCGGAAGTAGTTGGCATAGAAGACCACGCCGAAGCAGTCCGTATCTTCGATGTAGACCCGCATCTTTGTTTGGAAGGGCGCGCTAAGCTTCACGCCTTGTTGCTGAGTTAGTTTCGGGGGGAAAAAACGGTGACCCCAGCTCCCACAAAGAGACCATGCACCCCAGCAACTGCTTTCCTGGCCAATTTAAAGAAATTCCACTTAAAACAAGAAGTGGGACATAGGAGGGGACCAAACAGCCCAAGGAGTGTTGCTTCTTTGCATTCAAGGGACACCTTCCCCAATGGAACACATGATCCATGGGCACCCTGGTCCATTTTAAGTGGCCAAACGGGTTGAAAGAAAGATGAAGGAACACAAGGCAAACCGTTGAACAGGTAGTACCTGGATCGCCAGTTGATGTTTTTTTGTTCATGCACTTCACTCCAAACACCGATCGCAATGACAGAAGAAAGCAGAAACTTGGCTATCAAGGCTATCGAGTCCCTCCCAGAGCTTGATTCACCTTAGGAGGTTGTACCCCCAAGTGGCTAACCACTTGGCGACTCGAACATCCAAGGCTAGTCTGGCAATGTTCCAAGGAAGCCCAGTGCTTCCACTTACCACTATAGTAGGTACCCAGGAGAAGCCATGATAAAACCTAGAGGTAGGCAAACCTGGTCACCTATAGTGGCAAGCGCCTGGAAGCACTCGGATCAACTCACTGGCTGAGAGTATGGCCCAAAAAAGTCCAAACTTCATATTTACCCAATAAGTTTACCCAAAAAGTTTCAAGTTTATGAGCTCAGGAAGTAAGTCAAGAAAACATGAGCCACGGCGGCCGGGCAGCCATCTCCTCCCGCTCGGCCGCGCAGGCGCGGCTCGCGCGGCCGCTTTCGCCTCGCCAGGGCCGCGATCCCCGCGGCAAGCGCCGCCCGCTCCGAGGAACCGCATGGCGCGATCCCCAACCTCTGGGGTCGGACGGGTTTCCCAACCGCGAAGGGAGAAACAAGGTTCTACAGGGATCCGGCATGAAAAACACCTTTGCAACTTGTACATGGTGGTTTCCAACTGGGGCCAGATGGTTTCCAGACATCAGGGTTGTGAACACGGAAAGCGACTTTCGGTGCAAAGAAACTAGAATCGTTCAACAAACCGCGAGGGGAGAAACAAGCATGTGCCAAAAGCGAAACGCGCTGAATGAAGAAAAACCCAAAGGGCCGAAAAGGTCAAGCCTGCCTTTTGATGGCAGGGCCCGACCAGCTCACCGCAAGGCGTTGCGCTCGAAGGGAGCGAAGCGCCAAGCCAGTGGGGTGTTGAGACGGGAGCAGCCGGAGGTCGGCCATGCAGGCACCTGGATGCCCTAAATGGCCCACATTAGCTGCTGCAAACTTTGTCTTGACTTGATGCCAGCGATGTCCGTTGGGGGAAGAGAACACGTCTTTAAGTCAAATGTCAAAGAAACAGCCTCTGAAAAAATACAAAGGAATAACTATGTTGGATGAAGTGGGCCTGATTTTTTCAACTTGAAGGACATCATCTACCGTGGGGATTTATGTCGAGGCACCATGTGACAAGGGCGCTTCCTAGTCAAATTCATGTTAGACATATACTCAGAACCTAAGGACCTCAGTCAGGGTTTCATCAGGTGACCCCGCAAGACAGGCATGCTTGAATCTTGAAGCCTCCACTTGTGCTGCCACAAAGCAAACCTGTGCTAAAAGTCCAAGGGGTTCATGATTAGCCCAACCCGAACTGGATATCTCAACATAGTTTGGCCGTTGAGTTTTCCTGTTGGCTACAGCCAGGTAAGGCTTATGGCCTATCCAACCCGTGCTCTTTGGCTTGGAGCAGCGGCGCGCCGATTCCGCACAAATGTCACAGCTCAAGGGATCAAGAGTTGGCTTGCTGGATTCCTAGGAGCCCTCACAGAATGACACCCGAACCATCCCTACCTGGAGTCTCCCTCTGACCCTTTAAACATGGGTCAATGACCAACCATGATGTTGGGTGACCCATTTTTGAAGGGTCATGGAGACTCCAGGTACTATTGAAACTCCCTTCCCGATCATTCCCGCACCCCATCGATTTCTTGTTCGCCAGCAAGTCTTTTGGCCCACAATGCGCCATCCTCACGTACAGTGCTGATCCTTAGACCCCGACATGCTAGAATCCGTGGATTTTTTGTCCCAAAGAACAAGGTGTGTTTAATCTTGGCTACAGATCCACACGTGGGATACACCTAAGGTTACTTGTACAACCTATAGACCTACCAAGTTGTGTGCTTGGGCTGAGTCAATAGAAGTATTTGCTATTCAGCCACTGCCTAGCTGTGCACAGGCGCAGCCCTTCAAAAACCGTCTGCAGCCCCCAGAGCTGCTGTTCTATGCTGGGACCTACCTGGAGTCTCCATAACCCTTAAAAAATGGGTCAATGACCCCATTATCTTGGGTAATGACCCCATTTAAGGGTCATGCAGACTCCAGGTCGATTCTGAAGATTCTGGGCACCAGGTTGTCCCTTCAAATCTGGAGGTCAGGTGTATATGTGAGGTTTGGCCGTTGAACGCCGATCACAAACGACGGATAAAGCAAACCTAGCCCTGCAACCAGGAGTCTGAGATGATGAAGATAAATTACCAGAATCAACAGGAGATTTGTTGAATGATGATGGCAGGCCCTTCCGACCTATGCGCTTCCATGATTCTTGGCCAAAGGGTCTAAATCTGCTCCGCTCAGTGGCCATGGGTAAAAGAAGGCCGCCCGTATTGAAATGGTTTTCTTTTAAAGGGAAACCCTTCCGACCAAAGGGAACAAAGGCCGCTACTGGGCCAGAGGAGCCGTTGGTTCCTCATGCCGAATCCCGTTTTCACCAAATCCGAACCCGGAAAATCTGTACGCAGGCATCCTCTGGGCGGCTGTGGACAAACCTGCGGCCGCCTTCCCGAAAATTCGGCAGGTGCCGATGTAGCGATGGCAGGACTTGCGGAAACCAGGCCTGGCATCTCGACAAGGCGCCCTCGACAGAGTCGAAGGGGGGTCTCCAAGCGTTATTTAAAGTCACGGTGAAAGGGCAAATGCATGCATGCATGCATGCCTGGAGTCTCTTTCTGACCCTTTAAAACTGGTTGGTCATTACCCAAAATAATGGGGTCACTGACATGGAGACTCCAGGTGGATGCATGCATGTAAGGTGTGCGGGCAAGCATAGATCAAGGATGCAAGTGTGCATGGATGCATGAATGGATGTCTGCCTGTCTGCACGCATCCCTGCATGTATGTGAAAACACATGTCCCATGTCCCAAAAACAGTTCAAGTCTCAAGATCCAAAAAAAACACACAAAAGCTTGAAAACCAGACCATTTTTTTCGGGCCCTAAAAAAACAAACACCAAACGGCCCCTCCACTCCCACGTTGGCATCGCCATCGCGCGGCGTCTCGCCTCAGGCCGGAGCTGCAGCTGCGCGCCGGAGCGCATGAGCCGCACCACCTCGGGCCGTGAGGGCTGGTTGGTGATCTCGATATATTTTGTGGGTTTTGTCCACATTTTAAGGGTGACCAGAGACTCCAGGTACCACCCCCAAACAACCTGGAGTCTCCTTCTGACCCATAAAACAAATAGGTCAATGACCAACCATGATTTTTCGGGTAATGTTTTAAGGGGCATGGAGACTCCAAAAAGTTTTGTGGCTGGGGTTTTGGTCGGGCAGAGGCTTTTCTGCTATCCACGTAGACCGGATTTCAAAAGTGCAGGTTTTGAAGGGCAGAGGAGATTTCGCTGGGGCAACAACCCAGCGAATCCCCAGATTGGAGGGGATTTCAAGAGTTCTGCGAGAGTGTTTCGAGAGTGGTTCAAGAGGGCTTCAAGAGTGGATGAAGAGGAGCTGTGTTTGCTTTCAGCTAACTGAGAACATGGTGGATGCACAAAATCCTGCACCAGGGGAGAAAACCCCAAATACTGGTTGATAAACCACTACTCCCAACTGGCGCGAAACGATTTTTTGGTCAAATCACGGAATGGCGGTCACATCCTCTGCTGGCTCAGGAAGTAGGTTTATCAGCTTGGGGAACACGGGTTGGTCCTCTTGTAACCATAGGGGTCGGGCAATTCCACGGGTCCCTGGTTTAGACATGAACCAGCAATTGCTCAAGCACACTCCTTTTGGCTTCCCTTGTTGTTCAGAATGGACCTTGGGAAAGGTCTACTTGAGTGATCAAGGCTTAGTCCTCTCATAATCATGGCTTTAAGGGGCAAGGTCTACCCGCTACTGAATAAATACCCCTCACTATACAGGGTGGGGCGATTCACCCTACAACAAGCTTAAACAACCGCCTTTTCTTGATAGCTATCACCCTGCTTATCGTATGCTGTTTAGTGGGAAAGCAAATATGTCCCCTAAAAGTTTACATCTAAAGATCCAACCACATGCCACATGCTGCCAAGTTCAAGCAAACTCCTTGTGGCTTGTCTTTGCAGGGCATGACAGGCTGATTGTTCAAACGCTTTTCGCAACCAACAGCTAGATGCCCCCACTGCCTCAGTATCTCCTTCCCGAGTGGATTGGTCCGACCCGAAAAGTTTCAAGTCCAAACACCCTGCAAAGAGGACGTGGACTCACTCCGCCAAAAAGAGGGTGTAAAAGGAACCCCAAGCCCCAATAGGCCTTGGAGCCGAATATTAGTCTCTATTCCAAACTAAACTGTTAGCAAAAGCCGATCAAACCAAACCGACCTCAGGGGAAAATTCTCACCAACCCAGCACCCAAATCAACCCAACCCACCGAGTCAGTCTCCTGCAACTTCCGAGGCTCGGGCACGACGTGGCGATGCGTCCGAGGCGAGGTCTTGCATGCGCCCTGCGAAGCTCTCTTAGCAGAAAACCGCCATCAGCATACCTGGAGTCTCCTTCTGACCCGAACAAAAATGGTTGGTCATTACCCAAAATAATGGTGTCATTGACCCATTTGTTAAGGGTCATGGAGACTCCAGGTAGATTCAGACTCCGAAGGTTGATCATCAATTCAGACTCATCTTTGACGACCTACAAACTACCTTGCAGAATGGCACACCCGCTCACTAGCGCATTGCGCAATAGTATGCCTTCTTGGTTTCACATCGAGGGTGCTCTGCTCAAATCATGGCTCAAGTAACTTTAACGATGGTGCCTGATGCGTGACTCTGCGAAACCATACCTCAACACATGCCTTCAATAATGTTTTTCGATATATACATATATATATATATATATACATATACATATGGGTATATATGCCAAATCCTGGAGCAAGATGCAAAGAGGGGTGCGTTTTTGTCAACTGGGACCCAGGGGGCGGTTTTTGTTGTTGTTTCAATTCGAGCTCCGCCTTCTGTTTCAGAGAGTGTTCCAACAATCCCTCAATTCATAGCCCGAAGAGAACATCAGCTTCTTGACCCCACTATGGGGTACACACAAATGACAACCTGGAGTTTCTCTGACCCTTTAAACATGTTGGTCATTACCCAAAACAATGGTTGGTCATTGACCCATTTTAAAGGGTCAGAACGAGAGGAACATGTTGTTATGATTGTGTTTCTTCTTTAGTCCATCTGACCCTGAACCATATTTTCCAGTTGGTTGAGACCAAGGGAAAAATAAGTAAATTTCCAGTAGTGATAGATTCCCTTTACAACCAACAGGGGAAAATAGTCTTAGGCAAATAGAATATATCATTCTGGGGGTTGATTCCCCATTCTTTTCAAGCATCGCTCTTCCAAAAACCCGCCGTTTTTCCTGGATGTGTGGAGGCTTTTTAGAAAGAAGGATCACTGGAAAGAATGAGGAAGGTACCCCTGAGGAGACCCCCGGCGTGCGTGGGGTTTTTCGCGGTCCCCAAAGCCTGCAGCCCCCAGCAGGAGGTTCTCATCCGCATAGCTCAGAGCGGCAAAGTGGCCTGGGAAATCCAACCCTTTGAAGGCGACCTTTTTCTGCCTGTCCCCGTAAAGGTTAGAAAGAAACTCTATGGGGTATGGCCTTTATGACCTTTATGATATTTTTGGGGGGACACTTTATGATTTCTTTTGTTTAACAAAAACGGGTATTGGGTGTAGGGGTACTCGCCAGAAATGATCTCAGAACCGTTCCAAAAGCCCCATCTAAAAATTCCAAGAACCTGTCTGGCGGTGGGAGGGGGGTCCTTCCTACTGTGGATGGAGGAAATCGTGTACCACCTAAGAAACCCTGGAATGATGATTCCCCTGCAAATACCAGCAAACAATGTTTCAACCATGGTTTCAAAGTGGTGCGAAATGGATTTCGTCTATCCACAGTATCTTTGACCCTGACTTGATAACCAACCCTGAGACAAATTCCCAGGTCTGACACCGCGCCAGGCGGGGGCAGGAT